CAAGCTCGTTGTGGTCATGGGGTTGGTTGTGGGTGATGCGAACGCCCTGGGCAAAAAATCCAGGGTAGTTGGCAAAGTGGAGTGTGCTGGGTAAAAACCGGCCTTGGCGTAGAATGTTGGAAATGTTACCGACGGGGCCGGTATGGCCTGCGTTGATGTGGGCGACTTCCCGGTGGGTTGATGTGGCGCGGGAAACCGCAGGTGGCTCTGGTGTAGTGGCTTTGGTGTTGAGGAAGGGAAGTGAAATGGCATAGTACTGGAATTGGTCGTATTGGTGAGTTGTGTCATTCCACTTAGCGTGGGTATATTGTCGGAAATCGGTGATCTCCTTGTAGGTGATGTTGCAGTCTGTGAGGATATTGGCAATGTACTGGTGGTGTGGTCGGTTGGGGTTGTCGAGTTGGGTGGCGTGGAATTCGAGCCATTCCAGGATTTGGTCTGCAGGTGTGAAGGTGTGAAAGTTGGGTGGAGGTCGCCAACGGTTGATTGGGCGACGAATGACGGCTGTGGTGGGATATTGTGAGGGGTCAGGGTTGGTGTGTTCGGTGTTTGGGCGTAGATCAATGGGTTGTGGTGGTGACCGACTGCGGGATGGTGTGAGGCTAGATGTGTAGGTGGATGTTGAAGGCGACCGCCGTCGCCGGGTTGTGCTGTGGTGTTTGGAGTGGCGGTGATGGCGATGTCGGCGGCGGTGGCGGTGGCGTCCTCTGTGGTGATGGTCGGACTTGCGTCGGCTCTTGTGGCGGTGACGGCGACTGCTGTGTGGTGGTGGCGGGGAAGGTGGTTGCGGTGCTGGTGAGGCAGTGGTGTCAGGTTTGTCTGGTGCTGGTAGTGAAGTTCCAGGTGCTGGTGTGGCAGATACCAGCGAGAGGGATGCTGAATGTTGGGATACGGTGGCTGGTGGAGGTGTGTTTTGGACTGGTAGTGGATTGTCCTGGGCAGTCGTGGGGATGGGTTGGATCGGTGGTGTTGGATCCGATGGTAGCTGCTGTTGAAATGGAGGTTGGGTTGGCGTTGAGGCATTGGTAATTTGTGGAGGCGGTGGCGGGGGCCCCGGTTGGAGTGAAGGCTGTGTGACAGGGGGAAAGGCTGAGTAGGGTTGCCAAACGCCCTGGGGGATGGCGCATTGGGGGTCTGTGGATGGATAATTGGCAGGCGCAGGCTGTTGCTGTGTTGGAGGGGGATGTGTCAGTGTAGTGGGGGGAGGAAGTTCAGCCGGCGGCGTGGGTTGAGGTGGTGGCAACAGGTAGGACGGGGGAGGTGCTGCTGTCGGAAACACCGGAGTTGGATTTGTGGGTTGCGGTGGCACATGACATGGGTGGACAAAAGTCCAAGTGGATGGTGTGCCGTAAGTCAGTGCAGTGGCGGTAGGGGTGGGCAACAACGGTGGTGGTTGAAAAGGTTGTGGTTGTGGGTGAGGGTATGCCGATGGTTGTGTCGAGGGAAAAGTGGGTGCAGTTGATGTTTGTGGCATCGGCCATGTGGGTTGAGGTTGTGTGGTAGGTAATGGTGGTGGCGTGGTGTGAGCGTAGGGCCACGGAAACTGCATGTCGTGGTCGTAGCTATGGCGCGGCGCGGTGCGGCAGCAAAAAGCAGCGGAGAAATGCCGAGTTGTATTGTCTTGTGGTTGGTCATTGTTGTTGAATGTGTCATCTCTGGTGTCAGTGGTGAGTATGTTGTAAGGTGGTGTTAAATGTAAGTTTGTTAGTAGGTGTGTGTTCATGCATCTCGAATTAAGCTGAAGAGTCGTAATGCTCATCCTTGAGTTCTGTCAATGAAAGAATCGCGGCAGCAACATAGCGAACAGGGAAACACGCACATGATTGGAAAACATGAAAAGAAAACTGAATGCTGAAATCTGAGATCAGAAGTTCGGAATCTGAAGGATTCTTCAAGAACCGTTTTTTGGCCCGGCGGCCGGTGTGGCGGTTGATTCTGTGAGGGTGTCGGTGCCTTCCTGTGATGTTCCAGTGATCGGTGGAGCGTTGGGGTGGTTGCTTTCCCATGCAAAAACAGCGCCCCTGTGAAGGGGATCACACTCAGCACCCGAGTGGGACGGCTGAGCAGGACACACTTCGAACTTGGATTTTCAGTTAATGCAATTGCCACGTTGGGAAGGAAGGCGATGGAACAGCAAGGTGGAAAGGTCAGCTGAAACAGTATTGTTGAACAATGTTGGCACTCGCAAGCGGCGGAAAAGCGAACTGGCTGCTCAGCTGCTGGGGGCGAATGTTTATGGGGTGGAAACATGAAGGACCATGAATCAAAAAGTGGAAGAGTAGGGTGACAGCGTGTGGAAAACTCGGCAGGTACGTTCGGAGAGCGTCCTCTCCGAATATCACATCCGATCAGCAGCGTCTTTGTTAGGCAGTGGCTGCTGAAGGGATCACTGCCCCCCTGCCTGTGTGAAAGTGGTGGGGTGAGACCCTTTGTCCAGGGTGGGACACACACACACACACACCCACGCACGCGCGCACACCAATACCATAAGTCACCCGCAAGCCGCAAGCCTTTCTTGATCTTTCTTGGCTGTGGTCCCCTTTTCTACTCTCAATACATCCAGTGCTTCGGACAGCGAAGGCAAACACTTCATCCAATTCTTGCTATGGATCAGCGAACAATCTCCGGCGTTTTGCCGAGCTCCGCGCGAACGCATCACAATCACCATCCACATGCACCGACTCCGGGAGGGTCAAGCTCGTCAAGGAGCTGCAATCCATAAAGGCCCATTTGCCAATATGGGTCACTGAGCTCGGGATTGTCAGGCTCGCCAAAGAGCTGCAATTCTCAAAGGCAAAATCGCCAATGTGGGTCACCGAGTTTGGGATGGTCAAGCTTGTCAAAGACTTGCAAGACCAAAAGGCACGATCCCCAATGTCGGTCACCGAGTTTGGAATGGTCAAGCGTGTCAAAGATTTGCAACCCCAAAAGGCATGTTTCCTAATGTAGGTCACTGAGTTTGGAATGGCCAAGCTCGCCAAGGAGTTGCAATTCTCAAAGGCACGATCCCCGATGTGGGCCACTGAGTTTGGAATGGTCAGGCTCGCCAAGGAGTTGCAATTCTCAAAGGCACGATCCCCAATAGAGACCACTGAGTTTGGAATGGTCAAGCTCGCCAAGGAGTTGCAATTCTTCAACGCACTATGCCCAATGCGGGTCACTGAGTTCGGGATGGTCACCCTCACCAAGGAGACGCAATCTTCAAAGGTATTGTCCTCAATGTTGGTCACTGAGTCCGGGATGGTCAAGCTCGCCAAAGAGGTGCACCTTTCAAAGGCGCATGATCCAATGCCCGTCAATGAGTTTGGGATGGCCAGGCTCTCCAAGGACCTGCAATTCCGAAAGGCTCCCAACCCAATGTGGGTCACTGAGTTCGGGATGGTCACGCTCACCAAGGAGACGCAACCCACAAAGGCATCACCCCCAATGTGGGTCACCGAGTTTGGGATGGTCAAGCGTGTCAAAGATATGCAACACCAAAAGGCACGATCCCCAATGTCGGTCACCGAGTTTGGAATGGTCAAGCTTGTCAAAGATCTGCAACCCCAAAAGGCATGTCTCCTAATGTAGGTCACTGAGTTTGGAATGGCCAAGCTCGCCAAGGAGGTGCATCTCTCAAAGGCACGATTCCCAATGTCGGTCACCGAGTTTGGAATGGTCAAGCTTGTCAAAGATTCGCAACCCCAAAAGGCACAATCCCCAATGTCGGTCACTGAGTTTGGAATGGCCAAGCTCGCCAAGGAGTTGCAATCCGCAAAGGCACCACCCCCCAATGTGGGTCACTGAGTTTGGGATGGTCAAGCTCGTCAAAGACGTGCAACGAGCAAAGGCCCCACTGCCAATGTGGGTAACAGAATTTGGGATGCTCACTTTCACCAAGGATGTGCAACCCCGAAAGGCTTCATCCCCAATGCGTGTCACTGAGTCTGGAACAGTCAATTCGGCCAACTGTTGGCAATGTTGAAAGGCCCTCGCAGAAATTTGTGTTTCATCGTCTGGGATGTCAACCACCAGCAGCAGTTCCGAGTCAATTTCACTTCTGAGGCTGGCGAGCACTAATTGGTTGGAGCATCTCACTCTGTTGGGCTTGAAGACAACACTCACAACAGTATCTGCAGCAAGCCCTGCACCTGCGATTGTTTCATCACTTCCCAGTAAACGGTCTCCAACAACAATCTCTACACTGGTAGTTCTGGAAGTAAACTCGTCCCAAAGCTGCTCTTCTTTCATTTGCTGCTTTAGCTCTCTACCTGTCAGCTCAGGCGTCACATCAAAGCAAGAATGGTCGCCATTCACCTGCAGTGCTGAAATCCTGAAGGCCATGGCTAATGTGCAATGGTCCAATGGTGTGACTCCAAGCCAAGCAGCAGTTCAGCGGAAACTTATGTCAATGTTCTTCAAACTTGTATGCTCGAGTTGCTTGCATATATAAGAGCTGCATGATGCTGCATGTTGGTTTTACCGGTCCATGTCTGCCTGGATTTCCAGCCATCCATGCACCTGGAAAAAGGTACTTGAGCCAGCAATGGACGTCCATGGCACCGAGGTCAGCAACCTCCGTCCCTCGGCACCGAGTGTCGCTCCGCAACAAAACGCACCGAGAGGACGTCCCCGGTGTTCGCGAAGAACGCGAACCGCGCAGGTTCGGTCGAGCCGCGGCGCGGTGCGGAGAACGAAGGAAGGGCGGAGAACGAAGGTTCGGTCGGTTCACCGGTCAATAGGGATATATCCCATACACGACTAATGGGACTGCCATATATGCCTATATACATTGACCCCCCCTGGCACCACCCCAACTGATCGGCATATATGGCAGTCCCATTAGTCGTGTCTGGGTGTCTGGGATGTACTGGAACAGTCCTTCACTTCGCTCCTTCAACTGGTAGGGTTGTCTCTTTAATCAGGAATCAGAGCTCGAAACTCCAAACCTACCTAAGTTCCAGGCTTCCCCAGCGCCGCGCTGTCGTTTTCACCCATTTTCGCCCAACGTTCCGAGCGGCAGAAACGGCCCAAGGCAAAGGAAGACGCCACCAGGCCCACGCCAAGCTCGGAGTGAACGCCTTGGGATGCGGAGTGAACGCCTTAGACCAAACATGGCCTGGACCTTCAAGGGGTGTCCTGGCTGGAGGTCCCTTAGTGGTGGGCTGGGGCGAAACCAGCCAGGTGACCCCGAACTGAAGGTGCTGGTTTGTGGAGTTCACGGTTTTCTTCAAAAGGTGGTGGACTTGGTCGATCTCTTTGGAACGAATATGTTGATTTATCGTCAATAAAGTGGTGGATTTGGTGGACCTCTTTGGAGGTACAAACTTCTTCAAAAAACTGCCATCCCATCACAGGTCCCAGTGGGGCAAGCAAACCCCCTTGAACCCCCGAACTTCAATGATGGCATGCACATCTCCGCAAGTCAAACCAAAGGCCTCAGCATCGAGACATGTCACACCAAGTTGGGGATAGTTGGGGGGTGAAGAAGGTCAGAAGGGTTCAACAAATCGATGGCTGCTTTTTTGGAAGAACCCGGTATGCTGGATTTATCTTCCAAAAGGTGGTGGATTTGGTGAACTTGTTTGGAGGTATATATGGATTGGATATAGTATCGTTTGGTCGATTCTTCAGTGGGCTTAACCCCCAGCCGCCCCAACTGCGTGTCACCGACAAAGGCACACACACACACAAAAAAACACGCGGAGGTTATTCCTCGCTGTTCATCTCCTGCGCCAGGTGGCTATAGCGGCGCATCAAAATGGGCGTCATGGAAAACATGGCTGTAAAGCTCAGCAGACTTAAGCAGGAGACCGTCAGCAGGGTCCATAACCTCGGTCTTTTTACGCAGGTTGGAAGCCTGAATGGAAGGAATGCTGAATATGATGATCTACTCACGTGCCGATAGGCATGTTTTCAGCGGTGACGATGTCTCGGCATTCACGTTTTTGTTCCTTCACAGTGAACGAAACAAACAAAAACGTCATCTGGAGAAATCCCAGCCAGCCTGCGATGGCCAAGTTTAGCCTCCATGCAGCAATATACTACCCTCAAAAGAACATGCTCATGAGGACCTGACTATTTCATTCCGTTTCCATACATGCATGTCTCAACAATACATCTCGTCACTTTGACTATTATACTCTTAGAAATCTAATTTCCAAGTTCCTCCACTCATGCCGAGCAGCGTGGCACCCCCAGGCGGCACCTTCTCCTCCTCCGACTCCGCGAGAACGGCGGCACCGCGCGGTGCCCGGCCACGCGGCACGCGGCGCGGGGCCGGACGGCGCGTCGGCGGCGTCCGAAGGGCGAGGCATGGCAAAGCTCCTCGGTGCTCGGTGTCATGCAGACTGTTGACTGATCAAAGATGATCAGCCCCCCGGCATGAAGAGTTTTTTGGTCATTCTGTTCCATGTCTGGGAGGCATGGAACTGATCTTTTATTCATCAAGAGCCGACCAGCAGCTTCAAAGGGGTCACCAATGGAAGCCCCTACTACACTTCTTTGGGATCTCCCTTGGACACTTGAAGGTCCAGATGCATGCTACGGAGTATATCGTGGCGCAGTGAGTGACGAAAAAGATTGATGCATCCCTTCGAGGGTAGGTGCTGGAGGAGGGTGCACACAACAGTTCCATCCTACCAGGAATCTATGGCCAAACTCTGAAATAATCAGGCACGGCATGACCCCAATTTCGGATGACCATCGAAATACGAATGCCAAACAGGTGGAAACAGGTGCCGCCATCATGTGCCATCCACATATTACCATGATGATTTCAGGAATCCACATCATCCAAACTCCGAGGAAAAACACAAAAAAAACTCAGATCGTTGCTCAGGCTGACATTATATACTTGGTTGTTGCAGCTGGTTGGCTGTTGCTCTTCATTTCCCAAAAATCCTCCCGGACATACACCACTCAACAGCCCTGACATCCATCTCGGCACAGGTGAGACGGCGTGACATGTGCGTCTCACGCAACAATACCCAGCCACGACCAATCTAGCGCCAGATTTACCTACATTGGGGAATCACTGGGGTGGTTGAATGTAGGCGCCATATATTCCAGTCCCACTAGTCGTGTCTGAGACATGTTAGATTGGAATATGTTGGAATGTCAACGCGCTTTTTGTGTCACCCAGCTAGTCATGCGAAATAACACTTCCAGGGTCTGATACTTGGCACAACATGACCTCTGACTCACCTGGGTCGCATGGGTTCTCTCCCAACATATGCAGCTGAAAGAAGTAAATTGGCGGTTTTCATCCCCGGAATTAAGTGGGTGGGTCGGGGGTAGCGATTTCCTAATCCCTGTTGGTTTTCTACTTCCATCTTAGTGAATCAAAGGGTAATGTCATGTAATGTCTGTCCTCAGATAGTATCTTTCACCTGCTCACTGTCTTTTCCAGCCCCAGTCACTTCCACCCACCCCCGCTCGCCACATTTCGCCACGACTTGGGTAAAGCCACTTTGGCAATGCACGGGTCCAGCAGCTAGCCATGAATACATGACTTGCAAGCGACGGGGGGGGCCGCCGATGGTGAACTGATCTTCAGCAATGTGTCCAGCTTCATGTCATCCGAGGTATCTCGAGGTCCTTTGAACCAGCTCTATGAGTTGTTAAAGGGGCCCCATCTGCAGCAACGTTTGAGAAGGGAAGGCATTCAGGTCCAGCTTACATGATCTTGCATGTTGTCCAGTAATGACCTCTACCGTACTCTACCAAAATGTATTGCGTCTTGCCAGCCACTGATTCCTTGATTTCTGGTCGGGGTTTGTTGTTCGCTGTGGACACAGGTCATCACCCGCAAAGACCCGTTGCGACCCGTTGCGAACCGAGTCACATCTTCGCGGGGTCTCGGATGGTCAAAAGGTATGTCTGACGGTCCATTCATGTCCATTCTCATCCTGATGAGCCCACAGTCACGCGCACTGAAACCGAGTGAATGTCGGAGTGAATGATTCTGAGCAACGGTGACAACAACGCGGGGGGGGTGACCCGAAAACGTGGCCCACGGGAACTGTCGAATCCACCATTCCTTTTGGGGGGTACCATGGACCAAGCACCACGGTGCGCTACCGCTATGCGGTTGGGAACCTCCGATGACCTTCGAATGATCCCCTGTCCTTTGATCCCCTAAGGATCCATTGTTAGGGGCCACTCTTTAGTCACAAAAGTATACAAAAGCCATAAAGCATCATAAAGCACTTACACACTCAAGGACACCTTGTAGCTCGTGAGACAGCACTTCTCCTAACGATCGTCCAGATTGGACGGTTTTTGCATCGAGTTGACCATGGCCCCTGTTCGCACCAAGGCAGCCCACCATGGCGCCCTGGAACGAGCTGCGATGTTCAGACCGGCCCTGGTGATGTTTTAAGCCTGGCAGCCCGGCGCCCACCCAGCGCTTTTTTTCAAAACATGCATCCTCCCACAAGAGACACAGCAAAAAGCATGCAACAAGCACATGATGTTTCGGATCATCACACCTCAAACTGGTAGATCCTAGATCCTGGGCACCTCTTTCCACCCAACAAATGGGTCCAAGTCGATCTGGGCTCCGTCCGGACGACGTCTCTCGACGTCACTGGCTGAGCTCCGCGGCTCAGCTGCATGCTCGCTGGAAGGAAGAAACCTAGGAGGTCGGAGGCGGCACAGCAGCAGGGCAGGGAGTGCGGTGCCGGAACCAAAACCCTATATAGACGTCCAACCACTATTAATTAAATAGGCTTTACCGAACCAACTAAGGATTTTACACTACAAAAACCAGTTCAACCATTGTTTTGAATGGTCGAACGGAAGTCTAGGGAAAAGCCTGCTCATGACGTGCAGATTTTCCTGGTTGAATCGCAGATCCTGCGAGATGGGGATCACCCCCAGCTCACCGGAAGTTGAGTGGCTCCTACTGTAGAAAATGGAAATCCATTGGTCCAAAGGCCAAAGACCATGGCACTTCCATGTGATGTGATCGAAGTAGGGTAAGTCCTAAGTTGGCAAACACAGAAAAAGAATCCCTGTCGAAATTTCATGGGCGATCTTGAGACACCGTCATTAGTAGTACAAAACGATTGGTCCAAGATATGTTCAAACAAAATGAAAAAACAAACAAACATCAGAACATATCCGAACAAAATGCATTTTCAGGATGCTGCAAGCTTGCCAACACTACAATATGCAGGGGTGCACCCTTGCTTTTTCTCGTTCCAAAAGTATCGTTTCCACTACTAAATGCAGGGGTGCACCCCCCCTGCTCTGATTTCTAAACATCATGATTTGGAAAGATGTGATCTTGGTTGTGTCAAAAATTGCCAGCCCTAAGACATCCAATTCTGGTGTGGAAATTCACAACGGGATGAAAAAGGACCCGACCCACCGCATCCCACCACGTAACATTTCAAGGATTCCGAATTCCGAATTCATATCTGCAGGGGTGCAAGCCCCACCTGGCCTAGCTCCACGAGACTCTGAACATCTCTGAACTCAAGTGATTCTGCTTCAAGTCCCCTCCTCTCCTCGAGAGTCGGACACCAAACCCGCTCAGCGACGCACCCCTCGGCCATTGAAGTCTTCGAACCGGCAGAGCTTCCCCTGGCTCATGCCAAGAGGCATTTACCTTGGATGGCATGCCAGAATTCGCAGTTGCCAGTGGTCTTGTCCTGGCAACTCCATCACTAAGGTCGCTCCTTTTTCGAAGATCGATGCATGCTGCTTGCGTGAAGAATGTTGACCAAGTCTCACAAGAGTGGCGTGTCAAAAAAAAGGTCCCAGGTCCATCTGAGCCAAAACAAGTGCTGTGCGCGTGACTCGGAGCTCTCGTGCTGCAGGAGCTCTCGCCCCGGTCGCGTGACTCGTGCTTGGGAAAAACAAAATCCGTTGGACCGGGGCTGAAAACCCTGCGCAGGGTGTTTCATCCCAAGAAACCAGACTGGAATATTGACCATTGACTCTTAAAACTTTGAAACATCTTGAAACCACTCCAACTGATCAAACACTTCCATGCATTTCCATGCATGATCACAAAAAGCTAGGAGAGTCCGAGGGTGACCTCTTAAAGGTTTTTTCTGTTCAAAGCAAACCAGGAGCATCCTGTCTGGGTGTGGACTCTGCGTGGTTGGCTCAAACACCCCAAACAGGAGGGTCCCGGAACCCAGGTTGCACTTGGGTTCAACGCCTTTCCAGGTGCTTCTTCCAAAAGAAACCCATGCGTCTTGCCATGACGTCTTGCCATGACGTTCGCTCTCTTCCCGGCTCCCGGTCCTGTCGCAGAACGACCACAGCCTCGCCCTCAGGCACCAAATCACAAATGACGCAGTAGGACCTCAGAGGGCTCGAGAAGACGCTGCGGATCCTGCGAACTGGAAGGTTTGGCCGATCTGGGGCACAACCGCCATTGGTGGACGGGCGGTCAATGAGTCAATGTAGTTCAATATTCCAATTCCGGGAGTGTCTGGGAATGCTAAAAAGCTCGGTGGGTTTCAACTGACCAATCCCCCAACGAAATGCCGCATGCTGTGTGGCTGGAGGGGATATACGGACTCGCATGTTAAGACCTATAGCCTATAGCGACTTCAATGACTGACGGCGACGGCATGCGAGTTCACCTCTATTACGGTTATGACTCATGGCCAGATTGACAAAAATCAGCCTATAAACATTATAAACACATTTGCAAGAGTGGCGATTGTCAACAGGCGTGTCACAACCATGCTGAAGCCTGCTTTGATGCATTTGTTGTCATTAGTCTTCTTGCATGGTTGTGCGGACCTTGGACCTTAGCCACGCATCGAAATCATCACACCAAGGCAGGGCATGCACTGGTCGGACGTCCAATTTTTCCGGGATGTCGCACTCAGACTGCCCTCAGACTGCCCTCAGTGTAGGCATGCCACCCTTTGGTCTATCAGGGTGTAGGCATGCCGCTCACCGCTCCGTGAGACTCGAGCTCGAGCTCGAGCACTTGTTCGAAGCTGTGAAGGCAGGGCATGCACTGAGCTTCCGGCTGGATGTCCGTGAAGTTGTATCCAGCTGGCAGTGCGAGAGTTGACTGGTGGTTTTCCAACAACATGTCATACCTCTTCAAAGAACAATTGGTTAAGCTAGTGACATACTTGGCAGGCGGAATCGTTCTTCCCTGTGAAAGAGGCGTGTGTTACAAGCTTCCGGCAACCCAAAAGAACTAGCAAGGGGGTGGTATGTGCTGGAACTGCAACTCACCGGGCGTACCCTGTTAAATACACCAATATACTGTGTACCTAGACCTCTAGGGATGGTGTCCTTTTTGGAGATCCATATTCTAGCCAGGTGACCCCATTCGGTAAACAGTAAAATCCGCCGACCCCACACCGTGGGGTCAGGGCGTGACTGTCGATGTTAGCCTTAGCCTTAAGCCTTAGCCTTAGCCTTAGGCCTTATCCTTAGCCTCAGACCTAGTCCTTAGCCTTAGACCTGGACCTTACCTCCCCTACCCCTCCGGACCCTTGTTACAGTGACGAAATTCTGCTATAAAAGCGACCGATGGTGACCTGGATTGTCCAAGATTCTGCCATCCCAATTGATTTACATCTTGGGGCACCCTCTCGACCCGCGCGGGAAAATAAGCACGGTCCAAAATGGTCCTGGGCTCGAATCCCGGGCTGGTCGCGGCATGGTCCCGGCCAATGCCCTTGTTTTTTTGGTAGATTTTGTCACGTTTTCTGTTGATTTATGAGATTTTCAAAGGCTTTTCTGGCATTTTCCTAGGAATGCTCTAGGCTTTGTCTAGATTTTGTTATGTTTTCGGCTGGAGGCTTTTCCAAGAATTTTCTAGCGCTTCCTCTTGTTTTTAGGTTCCCAGATTTCTCCCAAAAATTGGTAACCTTTTGCTAACCTATGGAACTTTCAAAGGCTTTTCTAGCATTTTCCTAGGAATGCTCTAGGCTTTGTCTAAATTTTGTTATGTTTTCGGCTGGATGCGTTTCCAAGAAATCTCTAGCGCTTCCTCTTCTTTTTAGGTTCCCAGATTTACCCCAAAAATTGGTAACCTTCTGCTAGTTCCCGGCCAATGCCCGTGATTTTTCCTAGGAATACTCTTGGCTGCACTTAGATTTTGTTACGTTTTCGACTAGATGCTAGGAATGCTCTAGGCTTTGGTTATTCGGGAGGGTGCTTTTCCAAAAATTTTCTTGCATGTCCTCTTGACGTAGGTTCCCAGATTTGCACCAAAAACTGTCAACCTTTCGGTGAGGAACGCATCATCGGCATCACCACGGGGTTCATGCAAGAGATCACGTATAGTAAACCTGGGAGGTACCCAAAAAGTCGACTTTTTGGGTACCTGCTGTGGTGGTGATGGGTCTGAATTTTTAGGCAATGATATCCTGTGGGGAGAAGGGTTCAGCATCACCGGGTTCATGCAAGCGATGACGTCCGATGGTAAATCTGGGAGGTACCCAAAAAGTCGACTTTTTGGGTACCTGCTTTGGTGGTGATGGGTTAGGTCACCGGGAGAAACCGATCGATTCAGCACACGTCCGGGCGCCGAGTCGACTTTTTGGGTACCTGCTTTGGTGGCAATGGGTTGGGTCGCCGGGAGAAACCGATCGATTCAGCCCAAGTCCGGGCGCAGATACTTGTGGCACTTGAATGTACCCTAGACCGATGGTAAATCTGGGAGGTACCCCAAAAGTCGACTTTTTGGGTACCTGCTTTGGTGGTGATGGGGTGGCAATGGGTCGGGTCGCCGGGAGAAACCGATCGATTCAGCCCAAGTCCGGGCGCCGATACTTGTGGCACTTGAATGTATCCTAGACCATCGGCAGCGCCCTGCGGCCCCACAGGCCGCAGAACTCAACGCGTCACGGGGCTTGTGCAAGAGCTGACGTCCGATGGTAAATCTGGGAGGTACCCAAAAAGTCGACTTTTTGGGTACCTGCTTTGGTCGTGCTGGGTTGGGTCTGCACTCTTAAGGCTAAGGCTAAGGCTTAAGGCTAAGGCTAACATAGAGCAAGGCTAGCGCTAAGGTTCTATCCCTTGGGGGTCGGCGGCTGCAGGCGGTAGCCTGGTAAATCCGGGCGCCGGCCAGGAAGCCCGTGGCATGCCCGGAGGGCCTTCGGTGGTAGCCGAAGGTTATAGACGGGCGCGCCCCCCTGCCGCCGACCCACCGCCGACCCTCGTCATCAAAACGGGGGGACGACCGGTCAACTGAAGCCCCTGTAATTTACAGTGTATCGTGTGTGTGAGGTATAAAAAACACTGTGTTTTACAGGGTTTATTGCACATATCGAAGTACGACGCGGGGAAAAGGTAAAAATGCAAAAATGCTGTGTTTTTCAAGGGTGGTGTCGGTAATGCGGGCCGGGCGGACAGGCTTAATCGACATTTTGTCGGTAGAGGCCCTCCAGACGATTTACATTTCCTAACATATCCCCAACATAGGCCCAAGATAGCCATCATATCCCCAACATATGCCCAACATAGCCTCCAAGATGGCTCAACATAGGCCCAACCTAGGCCAACATAGGCCTAACATAGGCCAACATAGGCCCAACATAGGCTCAACATGGGCCCAAGATGTGCCCAACATAGACCACATGGGCCCAACTTGGCCCAACCTAGGGCCAAGATGCGCACCAGATAGCTTAACTTTGCTCAATATAGGCCCCACCAAGGCCAACATAGGCGCGACATGCTCCCCACAGACCCAAGTGGCCGGCGCCCGGCTGTTAGGCGTAAGCCTTTAAATACCTGTTAATTCAATGGTGCTTGCAATCCAGGTTTTATCGTTTCCTTTAAAGAAGCACTTTAAGTGAGGGCAGCTATATACAACTTCATGCAACTTCTAACATCTTCTGCCCCGAGAAGGGTGATCCGAGCCCTGCGCCTACACGTTCACGGCGGAAGCGATCGATGTAGTTGAAGTAGTTGCACAAGAGGATGCAGTGCTCCTGCGGGTGGCATGTGCTAACAATCCAGAAATCCTACACCCTGTTGTGGGAGCATGGAGCATGATGAAGCATATGATTTCTGAGTGCTTTGAGAATTTGTGTGTATCTAGTCAAAATATGTCAAAATGCAGGTGGTCAAAAGCCAAAGAATTGGATCTTTCATGGTCTGCAAGAGAGAGGATCCAAAGACTGCAAGGCCAGGAGATGCCAGGAGTCATGCCGCACATCGGCTGCGGGCGAAAGCAGCGTCAGCCTTGTTGGGCTCTGCGCCACTGCCGGTCTTGCCACCACAGCGAAAAACATCGAAGCAAGTGTCTTTCTCGACGTAGGTTGAGAGACGGTACAGGACCCTAAAGGGGTGAAGTAGACTCTTGATGAATAATATCCTTATACAACAGAATAATATTACATAAAATATCATAAAAATTCATAAAATACTACTAAGACTAAAGGTACAGGGGGCTCGGGCTTCATTCATCAAGACTCCATATACATGGGATAGGCGAAAAATAGAACTCTCTTTAGCCTATAGTGCCTAGCAGGGCGTACTCACACCCTAAGGCTCCAAGTGCCTTCTGAGAAGGTACTGTGGGTGGGTGCCAGGAGGACTCAGGAGGGTCCAGTCATATCTTCTGAGGAGCTACGACTGAAGCCCCAGGAACCAGGTCTTTCGGAGCATGCAAAAGCCCGAGTCGGACGGGTCGTGACATGTGCGGCACCGGACCGAAACGCCGGGGGTCCAACTTGGTGTTTGCTGTGTGCGAGTTATGAAGCCAGGCGGGCCATGCGACTGAAGTGAATGTGCCTTCCGAGTCCATGAGGCTGCGGCTCTTCGTCATCCAAACAAGGCCACACAAATCCTTCGATGAATTGGTGACCGGCCCTCGCTTCGATGGCTTCGATCACTTCGGCCAGTGGACCGGAGTCCCACCATCTCTTCTGGCTTGGCCCTGCGGTGCCCGAAGGTGTCCCTGCTGCCCACCGCTCGCGCCTGGCTGGATCCGTTTTGCGGCTTCGCCACCCTTCGGTCAGCAGCGGGATGTCTCGACCCCCCCCGGGTGCCTCCGAGGTCAAGGACTCGTTGACTCCACGAAGCGGCTCGAGGACTCGATGCGAAGGCGCTTCTTGGCGCCGGCAATCAACTCAGGTGGGTTTACCCAAGCCATTCCAGTGGTTTCAGAGGTGAGAAATGCCACAAGTTACACTAATGTTATAGGTGGTTAAGTAGTGGAATCCCATCTGTCTACATCTAAGACGGCTCACTGCCATTTCTCTAAAACCACCGGTCATTCATTCGTCGCGAACGGGCAAAGGGGACCGTGTGGCTCGGACGGGTCCTCCCAGTCTCCACATTGGATCTCCAGGAACTCCTGGTCCGTGCACCTCGTGGTCGGACGAATTGAGTCCCAGACACGACCTGTCTGGGACTGCCATAGGACTGCCGCCCCATTGACCCCTCAAACCACCACCCCAATGTAGGTAAATATACCATACATGGAGTGTCTGGGGAAGAACGCGGAGAACTTCTGGAGCACTTCGTGGAGGTGGTGAAAGGGTGGCTTCATGCATGGGTGAAAGTCTTTGTGTCCTACAGTAGATGTTCCTTTCTTTTCTTGGTCTGGGCCCAACCGGCCCAACATGAGCGCCCAAAACTCGGGCAATCTGATAGTTTGTAATCCGTAACCCCTCTAATAGGATGAAGGATGCCAGCCGTTGGGATGCCAACTGTTAAACAAGAGCTGTGGAATCATTCAGTAGTCGTTCCAATGCACTTACTGCAAAGTTTGCTGACGCAATCCATCTGCTAAGGCAACTGTACCCTGCTGACAGCCTGCTGATAAGTATAATAACTGTCCACTCGAAGCTCCTACATCCCCAACCAATGACGTGGGATCACCTCGCCACCAGCCATCTTAGCAGCCAAAACGCCACAGGTCATCCACGTTCCACATCTCATTGTCCTGCGAGCAATCCGACGAAGGCGAGACCGGTATAGCCAGGTGCAGTTTGGGGTTGTGCCAGTCTCACGTTGGGTTCTCAAATTCATGTGGAATCCGCAGCCCCAGCCTCCCAACAGAGCTTCCCAGCTCCAGCCTTCAATTCGGAAGGCCCTTCGCGGGGTGTTCCATGGTTTTCAGACTGCATCTTTCGTCCGTTTGTTCAAATTGTTCCTCCAAATTGGGGGGTTTCCACGACCTCAGGTCTGAGCTGCTGTGGGCCTCAGTGTGCACTCAGCGACTGTCTCTTCAACTCAGTGACTCGGGTGGTGCCCCATGTCAGATACTTAAAGGACCAGAATGTCCCTTTAATTGAGGGGGTCATTTACCATCATATATCTAATGTTGCTTGTCCGCTTGGGGCCGTACATCAACTGTATATATCTCATAAATTGTCATAACTAAACCCTCCAACAAGTCACCAGATAGACCGGTCCAGCATCGACCCCCCCTCCTTCTTGATAACAAGCCGCAGCGACAAAAATGGGAAAAGCGCCGGACGAGTTCCGGACGAGTTCCGCCGAGTTCTCGCGGCGGAACGCTGGTCAGGGGTCAGTCCTGCAAGGAAGGGACCAAGGCCACGTACTTGGCAGCCATTTCCTTGGAGCTTCGCTTGAACCCGTGTCGAAGCGCCAAGAACAAGTAATAAGATGTCATAATGTCATTGGTGGGTCTTTCGCTCAAGAACACAAGCACCAAAAGCAATGTCCAAGTAACTTGTAAACTGTATATACATCACGGACGTCCGCAAGCAATTCCATTGTGGGATGCAAAAACACATCTCAACAATTCCACGAAATAGATCGAAATAGCAGGTTGTCCCTTCTGTCCTTCAACCCCAATTGGCCAAATTTGATACCGGCTCGGGGTCACTGGTTGCCAACGAACACAGACTCAGCCGGTTGGGAGGCACACATCTCGTGGTCCAACCCTCCAACCCTCGCAAAACCGACCGAGCAGCTCCAAGGGAGTGTAGGTTGTTAGCATCAATGATGTTCAATGAAGCCGGACTCCTTCGACCAGGCCCGTCCAAACAATCTAAAACATCTCCCCTCCAAAAGCGCGGAAAGTCCGGCCATCCCAGCAAGCTTTGGCACGAGCCAGACCCCAAGTTCTTGGATTGTATAAGCGCATGCATCTCCAGGCTTGGGGTCGACCTTTGTTGATCAACCTCCAGTTCCTTCAATCCCCAGAGATCGCCGCTCGCCCTTCCGCCGCGCTGGGTTCCGCAGGCAATGGCGAAGGGATCCTCTGCGGAGATGTGCTCCGGAGGCTTCCTGACACCGGAGTTGCTGGTCCAGGAACCTGAACAAACACTCCCAGGCAAACTAACATAGAACCTGAGAAGAGGTCCTGTGGTTTCGACCATTTTCCTCATACCAACCCAGTGATCTGGGGCTCCATGTGGTCCTCTGGGGGGGAGTCATCTCCAGATTCGGGGATTTCACCAGTTTGGAGAGGACCAAGCATCACCTGTTTGGACTTGCAAAAACACGCCAAGAGCGGAGGCTGGGAGCCAACCAGGTGCAACGCGTTTGGAGCGCTTCCGGGGCTGAAGCCCGGATGTCTCCGGAAGCCTGGAGAGGAACGAACCAGCCAGGTTTTTTTCCACATGAGGAGGGCAAAAATGGTGGATCATGAGTGATCATGAAACCCCTAGCCTGCAGTTTGACCAGCATTTACAAAAATTGTTGGCCGGATTTCGTGCTGCAAAATCCTCAGTAAAACAATGATTGTTCGGGAAAAACACGTTGTATAAAACGGGTTTAATCCTAGGGCACTGGAATGGATCTCTGATTTCTGTATTTTTTTCTTGAGACGGTGTCTGATTTCAGATTGTGTTCGGCGGTTTGCGACGATACATGATGCATATCTACCCTCATATACCCTCAAATCTAAATGAAAAGGATCTAAACTGTAGGAACTCTGGACTCGTGAAAATACATGAAAATACCGCGGAAAGCTGTCAGTGCAGCTGAACTTGTGTTTCTGATGTCTGCTTGCGCAGTTCAGACGGAAGGGACCTAGCCGACCTAGTGTGCACTAGGTGCCTGTTTGGAAACCGTTATATATATATATACATATATATATATACCCTAGAAGTCCAAAGACTATATTTTGACCGGCTGAAGTAAAGGAAGTTCCCTTTCAGTTCCCCTAAAGACCATTCTTTTTATAGTCTTTGACTCCCAGGGTATATATTTGTATGCCCAGGTCATCTTCCTTCAGGACAAGCATCTGAGGACGGATGTATCGACAAATCAGTCGAGAACGGCCATCCACATCCATACCCAGTGCCAGGATTCCTGGGAACCGATGTCATCGATCAGTTCTGCAAAGCAGCTGTAGAAAACTGGGTGCTTGCTTACGTTTCATGATCGTTTCTTTTTTGTTCATAGATCTACACCTGCGGAAGATTAGCAAACCCCATGGTTTTCAGGTTCCACATGGGTCACTTCCAGAGAGTAACTGGAAGGGTGGGGTACTTGGGACAAGCGGAATGCCTTCGGGGTGCTGATCTGCACGCACCGACCTTCTGTCCTTTTCCAAGGTAAGTTTTCGAGAGCACCCGTCACTTGACTGCTACATGCGTGACAAAAAATTACAAACGAAGTTCAAAAGAGTTGACATCTTCTTCACTCGTTGCCCTTCAACAACTGGCTCCTGTCGATCTGGCTCCCTCGCGAGCTCTTTGCGGTCAGGAGGAGCTCTTGCGGTCAGGAAGGCACTTGAATTGAACGAGGCTGTTCGTTCAGCCTCATTGTCTGAAGCACCATCATCGGACATTCCATGCCGACGTTGTCTGAAGCCTCCTCGAGTGGGTAAGACCGCGGAGCCAATCAAATTCTTGCAGCTCCCGCACAAAGGCCAGGGACAGCCTGCTGAGTCTGTACACGGTCAAAACTACGGCTATTCCGCGCAGATTCCTTCACCATCTGAGCTGCCACGAGCCCCAAGACAAAGAGCCCTGTCTGCAGACCGCTGAGTCTGATCTGGCATTTCGCCGCCAAGTTGGCTAAGAGGTCGAGGAACCTGATACTACCGGCCTCCTTGAGGCACCCCATCTCTCTCGCTCTGTCTTCTTTTCTTTTCTGCTCTATTCAGTTCAGTTTCTGTTTCAGCTTCAGTTTCTTTCCTTTCCTTTCATTCTCTCCTTCTCTCCTTCTCTCCTTAACTCTCTCTCTCTCTCTCACTCTCCCTCTCTCTCTCTGTCACACTCTCTCTCTCTCACACACTCTCTCACACACTCTCTCTCACATACTCTCTCTCTCTCTCTCTTTATCTTCTCTGTCTGCATATGGTATCTTCACGGTGGTCTTGCAGAATCCTCAGCCGTACACGCCCTTTCTATATGTGTTGATGATGCATGGCATCTGAAGCCATGGCGGGATTTTTCTTGGAAGAATCCATCAAAAAATCATGCGGCAGTTTTCCTACTGAGTTTGCACCGGAAGCAGTTGTGTGGCACAACCAAAATCAGGCCAGGACGCCTGATTACCCCTTATGCTCTAGTCTGTACTTACCAAATGGCTTTGGATGGCATCCATTTCCTGAGAAATAGGGCCAACACCCGTAACTTCAAGTTCACCTTGCCATGCATGCATCCTCAAGGACCCATCCATTCCGCGGGTCCACATGCACCGTCCACTGCACCGTCCACCGTCCAAAGCCGCTCACATGATATGGCTTCATCTCTAATAGCAAGTCCTTGTGGCTCTCTGCGCAAACGCCGAAGAAACCCATCTCCCCCGCGCAAAAGTCAAACTGTCCAAACTCCCTGGGAGTCAAAACGGTTCTTCTTCGTTTCTTGGAGCTCGTTTTTTGGTCGCGTGGAAGGAGTGTCAGGAGGCCAAGGCTCGAGTGTCATGCTTGGACTTCAAGGAATCATGCCACTTCCTCAAGGCGACGCGTCATCGCGTTAGTGGCAACTAGAGCTTTGAGGTCTAGTGTTTTAGTCGGCCAAACCACTGGTTACCTACGATAGTGGCAACTGGATCCACCGGGACTAGCTATAAGATCAGATGATGAGACCTCGGGCGCCAAGAACTTTGCCTTGCTAACGTGCTTGCTCCCTCACCATCGTTCACATCGTTCACACGCCGATGCTCAGTGCTATGTAGAGTCACTCCCTCCAAATCTCCCCCCCAAAACATCCTAAACACCAACAAAAACCTGTTTTGTTTTAACTTTTTGGCTGAGCACGCCACTTGAACACCAACCGCTCCAAAGGACGTGTGCCTTGGGTTTTTCCATCTCCGGCGCTCCGGCAACCAAACAAAAGCTCCGCTTCCCAGACGTGACCCTGGGCCGGAGGGGTCTGGGGTTTCGAAACCAATCCCGATCGGTTTGGTTCGGGACCGGGAAAGGGCGTCGTGAATTCAGCGGACCTGGGAACAAAGCAAAACGAGCCGTCTCGCAGGCCCGGAGGCGGACCTAGACCTAGACGACATGCGGGCGATTCTTTAACACGCCTCCACCCCACCCAACAAAAACATACAATCCATAATCAGTTATATAGAAAGGACGAATGCTGCCACATGCGGGACTCGTTCCTGTACAGCTAGCTTGCTGGACTTCCTGGTTTGTCTCTCAGATCCCTTCAAAGGACGCCCCTTTTTTTCTGCCCAAAAACGCCCTCAGTCGCACGTAGCAAAGGCGACATCGGACAAACCCAGCCGTTCTGAAACCAGCGCCAGTCGCACTCTTGGCACCGGCACTCCTTGGCAACGACTTTACAGCCTTGAAAGGCAGCTGTTTTGCAAGCCGTCCCAGAGACACACATCGTCAAAACCAAAGAAAGGCATCCGGAAAAGGCGCCCTCTCCAATGTAAGTGACCGCGTCCGGCAGGGTCAAGTTGGTCAAAGAGCTGCAATTGTAAAAGGCATCATCCCCAATGTGGGTCACAGAGTCAGGGATGCTCGACTCTGTCAAGGAGCTATCTGCAAAGACACCCAGTTTGGTCCTCGAGCTTGTGATGGTCAAGTTCTTCAAAGAGTTGCAACACAGAAAGGCTTGATCTGCAATTTGGGTCACTGAGTTCGGGAGGGTCAAGTTGGCCAAAGAGCTGCAATGTGCAAAGGCAAAGCTGCCGATGTGGGTGACGGAATTGGGAATAGCTAAGTTTGCCAAAGACGTGCAATTGCAAAAGGCAGAACCGCCGATGTGGGTCACAGAGTCTGGAATGGTTGACTTCTGCAAGGAACTGCAACCCATAAAGGCCCAATCCCCAATATGGGTCACTGAGTTGGGGATGGTCAAGTTCGCCAGAGAGCTGCAATTCGCAAAGGCAAAGCGGCCAATGTGCGTGACGGTATTTGGAATAGTTATGTTTGCCAAAGATCTGCAATTCGCAAAGGCAAAGCTGCCAATGTGGGTTACTGAGTCCGGGATGGTCACTTTGGCCAAGGTATGGCAAGCCTCAAAGGCCCTTTCACGAATTTGAGTTTCATCGCTTGGGATCTCGACCGCAAGCAGCAGCTCTAAGTCAATGACATCGTCAAGACTAGAGAATGCACCTTTGTTGGAGCATATCGCCATGTTCGGCTTGAAGACCACACTCACAGCCGTATCTGCACCAATTCCAGCGTCCAAGAGCTTCGCATCGTTGGCTAGAAAGTGGTTCTCTCCAACAATGATCTCCACACTTGTAGTCCTTCGAGTTCTTTGATCTGCCGCTTCAGCTCGCCGGTCATCTCGGGCGTGACTTCCAAGAGAATGCTTTCACCACTGGGCTGCAGCGCTGAAATTCGCATCGCCATGACCGTTCGGCCGCCGATATCGTCAATTCATTTGCTGTCGAGGTCCCGGGGGGAACTGGGAGACAAAAGAACAAAACCCCAAGGGGATTCACTCACGAAAACTCATCCTAAGCAACACCAGGACATTAACTCAACTTTGTCCTTAATTATCGGATATTATCGGATTCCTGTCTGCTGCTGACTTATCAGCATTGCATTGCAAAGCATGTTCGGTCTGGGATTGGCTCGTCAACTCATAACATACTTGGTGAAATTCTTTGACATTCTTGGGCCAGTCATGTTCAAAACATGCTGCAATCCATTCCTGGCCTTTTGTCAGCCATTCCCCGAACCTCAATCTTCCGTGCACCTCAGACTTTCCACCCGGTTCTGAAGAAAAGGACCATTTCTCGCAGGGACCGGGAACAGAGTGTTCCAGGTCGATGGGTTCCAGGCTTAGCACGGTGACGCCACGCAGCGCATGTGGCGACTACCGTGCCGATCAGTTGGGGTCTGTTGAGGTGATCGAGCAAGTGCGCAGCTCCCGGTACCTCCACCTGGCTCATGGCTTGCATCCCAGCACGCACACACACACACACACATGAAAACACAAACAAACGGCAAGCGGCTGGATGTGTTTCAGCATCATATTGGCTTCCTTGCCCAAGGTGATTTGCGGCTGTACTCCTCAGTGAATCGCTCGGCGACCCCTCTTCTGGCCATGTAGCTTCTGTGCGTCAACGCGTTTTTGGAAGGATTCTCCGACAAGGCATGTGGCCCGGACCCTCTTGAATGTCCAAAAAGGCACCGGGAAAGCACCTTCCAAGCAACGACTCAATACACCTTCATACCTCTTCAGCACCCGACTTCTCTGGTCATCACCCGCCACCTTGAAGTCTCCATTTCGGAGATCTGGTTGAAATTCGGGTGCTGGTATAGAGGAAGTTCTTTTGGGTCACGCATCTTCCATCTTCCCTTATGTAAGAGGACCTACTCCATGACGGTGGCCACCCCCAAAAATATGTGTTCTTTTGCTAAATGCTGGTGAGGCTTGCGACTTCAGGACGAGAGAACCCGTCGATCTAGATCGTCCCACATCATGACAGGCTGGCTCAAGATCTCCCAAATGACATGGCGGGGTATGGCACCAGGACCCGACCACCGACAGAACAGAATAGATTGGGTCCTATTTACCACTACAGTGGATGATAATGGAGCCTGGTTGCAGGCCGACATCTCTAGAATAGTGATATATCTATATAAGTTTTACCGACGGTAATGAGACTCAAAGAATGGACTATTGGGTCAACCAGAACCTACAAATACTTCTATGGACTTACATGGAATATCTGAGTGCAAAATGCAAAACAAACTCCAAATTGTTGGCTCTTCCTGGTTGCAGGGCTTTTCACGCTTCATCGTGACAAAACCCATGCAGTTTCGGAAAAAAAACACACACTCTCCCATCCATCATGCGACCCCTTCAGACCGGGTCTGTCCAGTCGGCCCTCAGGCTTGTCAGACTTGTGGTCTGAGAACTGAAGAAAACACCATAAAACCACCACTGACTGGGAAAGTCCGCGCTGAACTCTCCGACCGAACCGAGTTTTCGCCGGGCCGCTGGTGGGATGCTCCAGAGGTGGGTCGACCGTCACCTGGGTCGCGACGGTCAAAGCTCGGGATCAGATGGAGAATGACATGGACATAGATGGACCATCTACACTGTAGACATACCAGGACCCCCAGTCGGGGTGGTTGGACACCCCGAATCACAGCTTTTTGAGGCTATAAATAGACACCCCGACAGGAGGGTCCTGGTATGTAGACTCTTGATTAATAGACAAGAGGTTTGTCATGGTTTGTCCATTCAACTGGGAGGTTTACGAATCAAGAGTCTACATTAAAGACATTGGTTGAACGACATAAATGACTCTCTGAAAGAATCACGGAAGTGGATGCCATGGCCACCTTAGAGGCGGTTGAAAGACAAGGTGAAGAACAACGAGACGCCGGTTGAAGAACACAAACAATCTGGCATCTGGCCACGACAAAACACCGTCAATGACGGTCAAACCATGCTGCCAGGTGGTGCAACGTATCAATGCAGCTTCATTGGGAGGGTGTCAACCTCACTTGATCCATGGATAGCACCAGCGGGTCGGTGGAAACATATTCTGTCAATTTCTGTCACTAGAATTGTTCAGTGTCAAAGGCCGACCCCCTCAGTTTCTCTGGAACATGCAGGTTAACGACAAAGTTCAATTTCCCAGCTGTTGGCATTTGTGGGGAAACCCATCCCCCAAAAAGGTTTAATGAAATGCATATAGGAAGGACCTTGCCTCCAGCAATGGGTCTTCCACAAACATCAAGAAGCAAAAATATTCGTCGATTTAACTCTAACTTAGCCTCTATCAACTGGGTCAAGGGTAACCAGCATGCTTACAAGATCTTACGAGAGGACCCGAGAACTTTGTTTCGATGTGCATCTATTCTGAAGTTGCTGCAGCAGGAACATGGACTTAAGCTTGTCTGATTGGTCAGGGAGTCAATTCATCAAGTTCTTCAGTTCCCTGCTGCGCAGCTTAATTAAAGTAGTACCCAAACACTCCATGTAGGCCATATATGGCATGACCCCTCAAACCACCCCAATGTAGGGGGTATATATCAGGATCCTCCAAGAGGTGTCCGTAAATAGCCTCTTGGAGGTGATTCGAGGTGTCCAAAAACCCACCGGGCTGGGAAGGTCCTGGTACTTATACAGCAAAATCCTCTTCCTCTTAAGCGTGCCATAGGTTCATGCCCGCGACTGGTGGCATATACAGCAAAATGACAAAAACCAACACCTCCGGCAGCGTTTCTGTAACCCCTTTCTACACCTCATCTGAAGTGCGAACCCGACCCCCTCGATTCCCAAAGCCCAAAGGGATGTCTGATCCGGCGGGTTTCGGTTACGGCATGTGCCAAAGGGTCCGATATTTGGAGCGAGGTTTGGTGGTTCCTGAAGAAAAATACAAAATAGCTATAGGGTTCACTTGCCTCTTGAAGTTTCAATGATTTGGATGCTGCTACCTACCACCCAATACTAAGTCTAGAACAAATGTCTTAATCCTCCCCCCCTTTCAAGGCTTTTCAAGTCAAATAAGTCAATGTCGATGCTCCAAGCTCCCATGGCTCAAAAACCACCTCCCATCACTCCGACCTTCTCCCTGGCCCCTGGAAAGCCGAGGAAGGCGCATCCAGCGCCAAACACATGGGCTTGGGCGTCTCCTTCTCCGGCGGTGGGGCGGGAAGTCCTGGCGCGCGAAACTCGCTTCGACATGGTGAAAGAACTCTGAGCAAATGCTGACCTGCACGACCTGCATGTGATGTAGACTCTTGATAATCTTCATATGGGGAGGTTGTTCATCAAGGGTAAGAAAGCGCAAGGTCCAAAGAATACTCAATAAGGAGATGGTCTAAAGCTGCCTACTTTGTGCAAGGTAGATCTATTCCTCTTGGGCCAGCTCAAGGCACAAGCGAATCAACCAACCATGACCAGCACATACCAACACCACCATCTGCAGCGAATCAACCAACGCTGTTGGATCCTTTCCCCTCCCCCCCCCAACTGTTTGGCCTGTCTCTGTGGTGCCCATGGGCTTCTTTTGGACCTTCGGCCGGTAGCCGAAGAGCACCGGATGCCTCAGCTGACAACAGGTCACCAGCTGACAGGCCGATGGTCTCAGTTTCGGTGCGAAAAAGGCAGGTGAACCGAACTGTCCACCTGTTTTGCGTGGGGAAACCCAACTTCCCAAAGTACGGTCACAGAGTTTCTACGTCCCAAACGCTCCCTGTCTGGGACTAGTCCGGACTGAGAAACAGCCAGGGGTGGTGGTGCCAGGGTCAATGCAGGTGTACATTCATGGAGTGTCTGGGGGTTATATCTGGTTGCAAAAGGGTTGTCCCGCTCGTGGAGACGGTTTTCACACACCGCCCGCCCTTGGCCACTCCAAAAGGGACAAACCACAAGGCCCACCTGGGTCAACCCTCTGGGGTTAAGGCCCCAGCTGCACACCACACCGCCCAGAGGGTTTTTTTTCAGCCAAATGAGCTGGCGTGATCCTGCCCAGCTGGCGTGATACACTAATATGTTGCAAGTCCAAAGGTATGACCCTCCGTCTCCCAAAGGTATGACTCCGTGATCCAGCTTCATGAAGATTTGGACCAAGTCCTCCGTCTCCGACATCATGGAGACATCAAGTCCCTCCATCTAGACCCTGCGCTCTGCTCTGCCCAAGCGAGCTGCTCATCCACTAAGAAGTTGCCTGGCTGGGAGGTGAGTCTTCCAAAGCTGACACTTTGGATGGATTCAGTTGGTGAGGCAATGAAACCAGGCCGGAGTTAGGTGACCTGGGCTGGTAGATGATAGCGGTTTCTGACCACAACTAGCCAGAATTGCCAGAATGTCCAACAAAAATGCCAATACAGTCTTTCAAGCTGTATTGGCGTGAGGATCGATCCACTTTGAGTGAGACCCCCGGGACCTGAACGCAGGTTTCCAGCCGTGTCCGCCCATGGCGCCTTTCAAACTGCACTTGGCCGAGTAGAGCGTTGACCAGGGTAGCACGAAGCGGCCCAGGTGGCCTAAAGATGGACGGACGTGAAGAAATGCGATGTGTTGCAGCGCGCCACGGCTGGTTCAGTAAGCTGCTGTAGTGGATCCCAGGCAAACCACGAGTACTAAGGAACCAGGGATTCGTTCAGTCTATGTTTGGAACCACTGGTTGCCAGCGAGCTCTCGTGGTTTGCCTGGATCCCCTGGGCTGCTGTAGTGCCCTACAATAGGTCTCCAAGCAGTTGTTCCAAGTGCTTGGACTTTTCAGCCCAGCCTAGGGGCAGGTCTACTGACTGAAAGGGGTAGGTGGGTAACTGGTGGAACTGGTGGATGGCTCCTTTTCCAACTTTAAGCCAACGGGTGGTAGCGATTGCAGAAGTGAAACTGGCAGAACTAAAGCACCAGTGGCCAGGTGCAGTTCAGACCTAGATCCTCCAACTCGTCGTCCAAATGTATGCGAATTCGTCGTCTTTCATCTACAAAACCAGGAAACAAAAATAGACATGTTGCAAGATCCAGGAATTCTCTGTTCCAATGATGTTTTTTCTCCATCAGCATCTACATACGCGTTCTGGAAACAGATCACAGAAGACATTCGATCTGGGTGAGGTGGATGATGATGGAGAATCTCCCCATGCTTTGTAATTATATAAATTGTCGTCGATCTTGTTTTTTTGCCAAAAGCATGTCCACATGTTTTTCCATGTCCTAGTTTCTTTTTTCGAGGGCCAGTGAAAAGTGATGAATCGTAACCCTGATGCACTGAATGTCTTCAAACCAGGCACAAAACCTGAAATGCCGTCAAGAATAAGACAAGTGGAGCCAACATCCCATGAAAACCACCAGCCGCATGGATGAAGACCTGTCTCCATTGCTCCGCCTCCACCTCTCACCAACCTGACCCCGACCCCCCCCGAAACCAACGGCGCCGAGTGGCGCAGTTGACGGCGGATCCGAACCTCCCGGCCGCTGGGAATGCTCTGCGTGAGCTCGTCCTGGGTGCCCAGGCAGGGCGATGGAGCGTCGGGTGGAGCGACGCCACTCCGGCCGTCGAGCCAAGCAACACGACCGCGGAGGGTCGACGAAGCTGGGTTGGGTCGTCACCTGTGACGGTCCATGGGTCCGATTGAGTCGGAGTGAGGGTTTTTTTTCTGGCCGCTGAGGCATGTCATTCTTCCCGCATGGACGGACATACTTCCATGCATGTGTTTGGATGCGAAATAAGGACTCCCAAGGCCAGCGGTTTCAACCACCCATCAACGGTCGACGGTAGACCGAACATTCCCTAGAATGCCTGAAACCCACTGGAGTTCATGCAGCAGTTCTGGCTGAAAAGCAACCTCCGGCCAAACACCCGGCAGTTGTTAGCAAGGACGCTTCATTCATAGTGAGCAAAACCATTTGGTAGCATCCTAAGAACTGCCTGACGCAAAAACCTGCCGTACAAGTACAAGTGCAAACACTGCATCTATGGACCATGGAAGAGTTGACACCTTTCATTGAACCAAAATATATCGCATATGGTCGCATATAGTCTAGTGGAGAAGTATTATTCGCCCGACCAGAATCCTTGTCAATGGTGAAGGTTGATCAGCTGGCACCAATCGGATGATGAATGGTGATGACAAAATCCTCTTGGACAGTCTTTGGAACGACAGTTGCATGTGGCAACACCAGGTGGGACTTCATGATACATGATGATACATGATCTCTAGCATTTAGATACAACATCACAGTAACGTCACCGTCCAAGGTCAAAACTCATACAGGAAAACAGTGGACAGCGTAACCAACGACAAGGTACAACAACGCGGCTCTGTTGCAGAGGACACATATGAGTCATATGAGCAAGAACGAAAACCCCAGGTTGATTTGGTCTACCCTATCTCGAATCTGCATGAATTTGCGCTATGTCTTGCTCACTGTCTTGCTCGTCATGCCTTCCGTCGGTCCGGCCGCGATGTCGGACCGAGCTGCAAAGATGTTGATCGTCAGCTCGCCACTGTACTTGGTCCTTACACAGGGTGTCGGTGTGCTGTACGTGTGTCACAGCGGCCTCTGGACGAGTAAACTGGGTAAACATTAACTCAACAACCCAGGATGGCCCGATCATTCTTGATTGTTTGGTCCATGTGTTGGCATGACTTGCAGGCAATCATCCAGCATGTCTCCCAACAAAGTGCATTGAAAGCCAATGTGTCTCGTAAGGCTGGCCAGTCATTTCCCCTAACACCAAGAAAAAGCGCCTGATGCGCACCAAGTGAAGGAAAAACACCTTGTCCAAGAGCCATGCCAGCTTCAAGGGTCACCAGTGTCATGTAGTGTCCATTCTCACTTTTTCGTAGCCGGGTGTCCTTGGTAGGAGACTATCTCAGGGTGTGTCCTTTCCTTGATTGAACCTACCAAAAGGTACGGCAAAAACTTGTTCTGCGGTGATTCTGCACACTCCTCACAGAACTCCCGCCTTCCACATGTCAAGACCCAGTTTGCTGGTCCTTCCTTCAGTGCCATGCCCAGCGGCAAACTGTCTTGTGTGAGCTCTTCTTGACCAGGAATGTTGCCAGCGTGTAGGGGCAGCTCCAGTATCTGGTTGATGTCCTCGGAGGACGTTTCAAACACACTGGGACCCCAAAGACGATGGTAGAAGGATGTCAAACACATGAAAGCACCAGCAGTTTCATGTCCATCATGGAGGGAGCATATGCTTAGTTCCATCCAGTGAGCACCTCACGCTTTGTCCACAGTCTTACCGACCGGATGTTGCTCAAGGTGTGCAAGTCATATCTGACAGCTCTTCCTCAGTCCCACCGATTTTTCGTTGGTTGGAAGGAGCATGAAGGAGCCATATGTCTACTCTGTCTACAGGGGTCTCTGGATCTCTCTGGTGCTCTGGGTGCGCAGTGCTGATGCTGCGAAGGGGTGTTAAGGTCCTTTGAATCCGTTTGCTTCAAGTCCCGGTGCTTCAAGGGGGACGAAAACAGGTGCTACAGACAAAAGGCACCGGGAAGGCCTATATGAATCCTTGGTTTTTCGGAAGGGTCAGAAGTCCTGTGCATACGAAACGTGTGTCTCGGCCCCCGGTGATGCAGGGGCAGGCCACGCGAAAAAGCGAAAAACGCGAAAACGCGAAAACGGCAAAAAATGCGAAAACGCGAAAACGGCGAAAACGCGAAAACGAAAGTAAGAGCCCGTTGGAGTGGAGTCAGAAAAGCATGCCCGAGATTGATCTGGGATTGGAGGTTGTTGTCTTGATGTTGATGATTCGGGAATGGTGGTTGTCACAACGACTATTATAAAACTAGTGCTTGGACTTATAGGGATATATATAAATGATACCCCCCCCAAAAGATCTACCATTTTTATTTGTTTCACGGTTGTGGATGCTCATCCATCAATTTATTGAAAGGGGAGTACCATGTAAAAATATATATATATACACATGTCTTATTGTATGCTAACTGTTGAGATGCTCACTCCACATCATTGGTTGCAGGGAAGTACGCGTACTGTACGCGTACAATGGTCAATGTTTACTGTACGCTAACTGTTGTGATGCTCACTGCACATCATTGGTTGCAGGGGAGTACGCGTAGTGTACGCATACAATGGTCAAAACAAGAAACCAAGAACCAAGATTGCACAGACCTATGAAAATGAATCTTGGTTCTTGGTTTCTTGGTTGGACTATTGTGCGTACAGTACGCTTACAAATGAATCTTGGCTTGGGGTGTGTCCTTTTTTTGAGACCCAGGTCATCCAACTTGTGTAATGTGCATTGGCTGCATCAAGCCAAGATTCCTGACAAGAGTTGTGCTCAATCTTTTTTTTTTTGTTTTGTTGTTTTGAGCAATGCACGCGTACAAAGCGTTTGTACGCGTACTTTCCTGGAACCAACATGCAGTCAGCATCTCAAGGGTCATCATGCAATAAGACATGACACAAATATATCAAAGTATGACACGACTATAGTCCCATCAGGTTATTTTGATAAAAAACATTGTAGGACTATAGTCCCATCAGTTTATTTGAGTAAAACACTGATACAACAAAACTGAAAGAGATTGACAGGGCTAAAGCCTTTACATGGGCATTTACACAGACTAAATTCATACCGGCTTTTATGAGTTTGATAGTTGGAACATTACAGGGATGACATTGACATTAGCAAAATATCTAGTTTTACATTGTATACGATGGAAGTGAAGGCATCACATGTTTTTCATAAGAAGTATAACTCAATATATGGAAAGTGCTTAAGAAAACTATTGGAAGCAAACAACGAAAAATATTTTGCTACAGAACTCCTTCAATCATTCATTCATTCATTCATTCATTGGGTCAATTATGACCAGATTGTTAATGAACTATGGGAAACCGATCTTACTAAAGATGACCAAAAGAAAATAGGAAACATCACAACACCTCACCGAAGTTACAGTTTCACACTTTGAGGGAGTCTTGCCATTACCAAAGGGAGTTTGGAGGAAGGGTTTGTGCCATACAACAAGAAATAGAAAAAAAAGAAGAAACAAACACACAGTACCTATTGCATCTTAAACACAACCAATCGAAATGAATTTTTCAATGGGCCTAGAGATATAAAAGAGCTGCTTCTTCAATATCATAACTTTTCAATGAATGCAGCGTAATCATTTTTTCAGAAAATGATATTAAGGTCTATTCAGTATCCATGCAGACGGTTTGACTAGAGTGATGGGTGAACCAAATCATGTTATAAAACCATATCAGACTGGAATATTGAACCTTAAAGAAGGCATAGGCAAGTGGAGACTGACAAACAAATCAACCAGTTTCCAACCAATAAGTACATATTTTGATATAATGACTTAATTGAAATTCCAAAACTAGAAAATGAACCAACAGAGGTGGTGGATGAATGGGACAACCCCGGAATATGTAAGCAAGTTGAAAAACAAAACCCCTGCATGATCAGATCAAAATTTTCTGGATCGAGTTACACAGGTCAGTAGCTTTAAAAGGTGCATAAACAAATTTTGTTTGTAGAGCCTTATAACTGGTTAAGTCAAAAAATATAAGGTGACGCAACAACCCATAACATTTTTAAGATTTCCAGTTCATAAGCAGGATGAACTACCAGAGTTTGATCATAGCAATTTTCATGTCATTTTCTTTGATGAAATCTATATGACCAATCTTTTAATTTTTAAACTTTACTGAAAAGCACAAGGACAATAAAATCATCATAGGCGCCGGTGATACAAAGCAGTTGGAACCCATCAATGATTTAACTAACACCCAGTCAAAGACCACAATATGGTCAAAATTGTGCTCAGTTTGTTCTCTGAAATCAGTGAAATTGTCCAAACGGTTCATTTGATATCTGAAAATATCACTCAAACAGGCATGCAACAGGCAAACAAGGTAGATTTTTTGGGGGGGTAGCTACATATATATATATATATATATCTGTAAGAGACATCCAAGGTTGGACAGCCTCCTGCCACATCCTGTTGTTGGGCCTCTTTTGAGTTGAAAACCTTTGAAAGTGGCGAAGACCACGAAAACGACGACTGCGCGAAAACCACGAAAACGGCGAAAACGACAAAAACGTGCAAACGGCGAAAACCGCGAAACCGCGAAAACGGCGAAAACGACGAAAGTGGCGAAAACGGCGAAAACGACGAAAACGGGAAAACGGCGAAAACGACGAAAACGGCGAAAACGACGAAAACGGCGAAAACCGCGAAAACGGGAAAACGGCGAAAACGGCGAAACCCGTTTTCTTGCTTTTCTCGTTTTCACGCTCAAAGACAAGACAAGCAAGAAGACGTAAGAAAACTGGAAAAAACTTCCACACGGCAAAACGCGAGAACGGTTTTCTCGGTTTTCTAGTTTTCTCGGTTTTCTCGGTTTTCTGGTTTTCTTGGTTTTCTCGGTTTTGCCGTCGCATCGCGCGGGCCACGACGCAGGTTTTGCGTTCTTAGCAGAAGTCTGCCCCTCCCAAATCAGTACCCACCACCCTCCCAGGGGTCACTTCCACACCAAAAAAGGAATGATACTGTATCATGTGATATATGGTATGCATCAGTTCACTAGGAGCTTAACTGTCATGGAGTGCACCATAGTGCACCCATTGAAAGCAAGAATCACCCAAAATTGTCAGTGTCTAGATCATTGACAACCGGTTTCAGTGAGTTTGCTCCATGTTTTTGTGGATGTTTTGCTGGTTCAATGCTTGGATCACGGGGAGGCGAGGCATGTGTTTCCTCCAGTCCGAGGGGCTGGATCTGTAGACTTCCGGGCCCGGTCCTCGGTGGGTCGGCTGGGGCGGATGGGAAGGGCAATCGGTGGGGAGAAGCGGCCGTGTTCCACGTCAGCGGACTTGGAGGTGGGACTCTGCGGCTGATGTTGGGTTGGCAGTTGAACTAGTTATCCGGGATAGAGGCCTGCAATGCCAACACTTGGTCCTATAGAAGCTTTATATGTGAGGCGACCAGCTGCGAGCACCAGCTCGTCCGTCGGCCCAGCGTCGGCCCCCTTCCTTCGATCTGGTGGGGTGGGTAGGAGCGTCTAAAGAGTCTGACTACCCTAACCTTCAAAGACCTTCAAAAGAATGGGAACGACCTGGCGGAGCACAATGGGGGTGCTTGATGTTCGGTAAAGACCATTCTAACAATGGTTGTTCAAATCCGAGTGGCTAGAAACCCAAGACGCTGGAGGTCCTTCTGCAGTGTAAGACTGGACTGGCGCGCGCCTCATCGCTTCCGCTTGGCGCGCACCCGTTCTTGCGGCTCAGCGGCCGTCCGCCGAAAAAGCAGATTGCCCTGGAAGTCCTCCGGAGGGGACCAAACATGACCAAACAGCACACACCAAAGCGGTCTGACCGCCCAGCCCCTTATACACCTTTATAAGCCTTTTACACCTAGAACTCTTATACAACTTTATAAGGCGTTATAAGGCTTTAAGCCTTTATAAGCCTTATTCAGAAGAACTCTTTGACCTCTTTGACCTTCCAATGCGCCTTTTCAAAAAAAATCAAAAAACGCACGTCACACAGAACGAACAGAAACATACCACTAGATTGGGGTGGTTGATGGTAGGCGCGGTCAATGTGAAATTATACCCTAAGAATCCGAACCCCCTCAAACAGATAGGGTTTGGTTCGGCCCAGACCCCTGCGTTTCGGTGGAGAAGGTCCGACCCCTGCTTCGGGTCCGAGCCCGAGCTTGGATTCTTAGGGTCCCACTGGTCGTGTCCATCGCCGTTGCCCGAAACCTCCGAAGCCTCCGGCGTCGGGCGGCGAGTCCCAGCGATCGGCGCTGCCTCTCATGGAAAGGTCTGCTCCAAATGGAAGGACTAGCAGCGTGGTGCCAACAACCAGGAACTCCACAATGAGTAGGGAAGAAAGCTATAGCGTATTTGGATATGGCATGGGCCATGGCATGCCATGGCCATAGCCGCACCCATGTTCTGCAGAAGAACCAGGCTCATGCATGACGGTGGTGGTACTGATTCAGCTTGTGACACGTGACATGCGCCCTATCTTCCCTGGAACAGCGGACCCGTCGCCCGGGCGTGTGCTTTTTCGGGACCTGCAGCGTGAGCTCGATGACGATCTCAGGGAGCTGATGGCTTTGTGCCTCAGCGCCGAACCTCGGCCACGACCCGGAGCGCGCCACGACCCGGAGCGTCGAGCGAAGCGGCTTTTGGAGGCCCAATGCCAAAATGGGGGGGTGGAGAACGGCCGTTTTGTGTGATGTAGACCCTGGGAGTCAAAGACTCTAAAAAGAATGGTCTTTAGGGGACCTGAAAGGGAACTTCCTCATCTTCCTCTACTTCAGCCGGTCAAAATATATATGTCGAACTGGACTTCAGCCGGGTAGAATGAGGGGATCTTTGGTGGCATCTTCCCTCAAAAAATCGGGCTAGACCGAACGCGACTCAACGTGTTGGCGAGTCGACCTACTAGTAACAAGAAGCTACTAGGTTGGAGGCCATCGCTCTTAGGTTGGTGGCCATCGCTCTTAGGTTGGAGGCCATGGCTATTAGGTTGGTGGCCATCGCCTTTAGGTTGGAGTCGCAGGCCATTACTAATTACTAACCTTGCCCATGAGATGCTTCAGGACACCTCCTTTCAAAGCCGTGCCCGATCTGACCCATCTGACCACACAATCAACACTTACAACAGGACGTCCGTGCGGAGACCCCCCAACTGAAGACCCCGAACACATCACAGAAATGGGCCTTGCGAGCTGTTCAATCCCCGTGAACTCCCGCGAACGAATCTTTCGCCCTCAGATCTGAGAGTGACCACAGGACCCTGATCGATGCCCACCACTGATCCATCTCTCACCGCGTCCCCCACTCGCCAGGCCACAAGGTGCCCGGCTTCGTTCCACCGAAGCCGCCTGCAGGCTGATCCGAGGGGTCTTGGGACTCTTGAAGATGGCCAACTTAGAAGCGGATTCTTCTCCTGTGAGCTTTGCAAGAAGATCTTCCTCGGTGCGAGCTGCCTGCATGTGCCTGCGAAATGAGGCCCACCTGCTGAACAGCAGGTGCGCCCCAAAATAACGCACTTAAGGGCACCCTGTCATCGCTCAACTTGGTCCGACCGGGGGTTTGTATCTGTTGCCGACGTGTGGAGGTGATGGAGATGAATCTATCATCTTACTTGTTGATAGATCCAAGATTATCTATCATCTTACTCATCTTACTCTATGAATCTATCATCTTACTCATGGTGATGGAGGTGTGGAGGTGATGGCGAACAAGATTTTCTGGTCGGAACGTCGGAACATGCCACCTACATATCTTGTACTTCGCACTCAGCCGGGGACGAACAATCCATCTATTAAGTGAAGTACTTGCGACTCTCAACCTAAGAAGGAACCTGAGAATCCTCATGAATCGTCCTGAAAGGATCGGAAACAACCCCTGGGAATTTGGAACACCATCTTGATTCACGGGTTTCAGGCCCCAAAAAGGTATCACATCAGTGGAGTGGTTGGGCATATGGACCTAGACCTAGTTCCAGGTTCCCAAGAACTTGCTTGGATTGCGCATCGAATGTTCAACTTAAAATAAGAACCCACCATGAAACAGAACCAAACCCTCATGAATCCCCACCAGTTTCAGCATTGCTCAGTGAACATGATGTTCCCTATGCCCAGCAACCCGTCCTCCCCTCCACCCTCTCAAGCTGAGCGCCAACCTTGGTATCCCCACGTTGTCCCTGGCCGAATTTCCACGCCGTTGTGTCCGCACATACAGAGCCCCGACCCCACCCCCAAGGCTTATAGGAATGAACAAGATCTGAAGAATCAAACAAGAAGACGGAGACTTTAAACGAAGGAAACGAGCGTTTAAGACCACCCTGGATTTGTGTGATTGTTCAACTTTAAAGTCCAAGCATCAGGCATGACATTTCAATAGGGGTCACAAATCAGTTAGACAGGTCATGTTTGGGCCCTGATGATCAATGGACTCCATCTGGGCCTCACCCTGACTGGATTGCCCAAGTCAACGGCGGCGTCCACCTCACCGTTTCCTGAACTTTACAGGAACCACACCATTAAACCACACCATTAAACCACCACAGGGCGGTGTACATTGAGAGTTGGAAACTCGCAACCTTGAATTCTCCATGCGGCTCGTAAATGGGGGCCTCTTCTCTTTCCCTGTTTAACCACCAAGCACCTTTAATCACAGAAAGTAGTAGAAGCATATGGAACCCCCCCAGCAGGTTTGTAAAGCCAGCAAAGCCTTGCATGTTAGCATGTTGGAGGGTCATAGACAGGTTGGGACATCATAGTGCTTCAATCTGCAAGGCCACGCGATTCAAACTCCTTAGCCGAGAAAGAATCGTTTAGCTCGAGCTCCGTGCCTGCGCGACAAACGAAAAGGCTCATGTCTTACCCTCCGACGTGCTGGCAGTGGATCGAATGAATTTCCTTTATACACGCACACTCCATGTGGCCCATGATTTGCATTTTTGCCTACACATGATGAGGCTCGAGGTCAATGTAGGCATACATTCCATGCATGAAGTGTTTGGGTTATAGTGGATTGAGAGTAGATGGCACTCTCTGACACCAATGGCCCAAACACTCCATGTCTGTCATAGGACTGCCGCCCCATTGACCCCTCTGGCATCACCCCAATGTAGGTAAATATGGCATACATGGAGTGTCTGGGCTGTATAAAAACCAGAAGCCTTTCCACTTGCCGTGACATGCCATGACTCGGAGGGAGCGATCCACAGTCCCACACTCGGTCTGACAGTCCCACACTGCCTGGGCGCGGCGGTAGCGGCGCTGGCGCCGCCGGTGCGGCGGCTGCGCGGGGGTCGACCCGCAGTGGCGCCTAAGGGGAGCAGGGTCAGGGTCGGTCAGCCCTTGTCAGCCCTCGAAACCATGGAAAAGAATGAGTCTGTTTATCTGAAAGCCGTTCGTTTTGCACTTGTGGCCTGAAATCTGCGGTTAGGATCCTGAACTTGAGGAGACCTTGCTTCCCAACACCCTGCATCAGCCTGGTATGGCCTGACCAGCCTTAAGGTGACCTGGCATGGCCACGACATGCCATGAATTCGGCCTGGGTTGCATTGACACATCTCCTGTTGTGCGCTGCAAAACTCGCCAAAGTGCCAATGTGCGAGGGTTTGCTTGCCTGGAGGGGCGAGGGGTGAGTAAAGGCCTGCACTAAGGCCTGCCTATTCATCATCCTCTTGACATCAAGAGGCCAAGAGGAATGGGCTTACACACCACTTGCACTTCTGGGACTGCCTTAGCACGTCCAAGCACAAACGGTGCAAATGTCGCCCTTTTTACCAGTGGAAATTCCTCGCTCGATTCCTTATAGCGCCTAGCAACGCCAGCTTCGATTCTAGTGCTCCACTGACTGTCTAAATGCCAGTCAAAGCAGCTTCATGATCTATAGACTCCGAGCACCGAGCAGAAAGTCTCCAAGCACCGAGCAGAAAGACTCCAAACACCAAGCACCGAGCAGAAATCTGCACTAGTGCAAGCCGAGCGTAGATTTCACCTCCAGTGAATGCTCCGAGGCTCGCCTGCCCCCAACGACCGAGTTTGTGTTGAGTTTCCTCAAGCCACGGGCCCCGAGGATGAACCTGGGAACCTGGGTTTAGTAGGTCCCGAGGTTCCCAAGGCATTCTGTATAATAGCAGGTCTCTGTCCTTTTGGAACCTGTTCCTCTGGGCCATGAGAAACCCTTCTCTTCTTGGAAACCATGAGATGCACGTTATTAAAGCAAGGCATCTTTGACTTCCCCAATGTTCATTAGGCATCAGACTCTCCAAGGTCATCTGTCAAGTACGACATGCGTTCTCTGATCCCACGCAGTCGCATGTAGTTTGTAGCGTGCTTTCAACATCTCGACATCCAACCGAATCTAATCGATTCTCCAGGACTCCGGACCCAAGCTCACCGCCCCACAACCAGATTCTTGTTCCAAGTGTGTCCAAGGCACTTCGTAGACTTTGGCCACCGAGACATGCACCTGCCCATTCCCGGAAAATAACATTGGGCTCGTTGGCTGCGGCGACCCGCCAACGCTGGGAGTTGGATTGGAAGGTCACCGCATCAGACCCAGACCTGACCTAAGAACATCCGCAGACTGGTTCAGTTCCATATCACGGCATTTTGAGACAGACCTGGACAAGTTTGAAATAAGACTAGATACCAGGATCATTCTGTCTGGGTGTCCTGGCTAGACTACCCTATCCTACGCAAACAGGTCTCCTACTCCAGGGCACCCGGACTGTGTCAGTGCTAGGTATCAACCTTTTATACACTGGTTCTTTGAAAAAGCAACACATCCGGAAGTGCCCCATGCCTTGCAACATCTGATGGTCGATATATGATATTCCATCCTCAAGGTCTGGCCATTGGAAACCTGAACCTGGCCTCCCGCACCAGGGACATCCAACCAAGTGTACGCCCAAAAGCGGCTGAAGTCGTCAGTGCATTCAGTGCAGCTCGCGGCAGCTCGCGGCAGCGTCGCTGGGGTCACTGGAGAGACCCACATGGAACCAGAAGACCATGGGTCACTGGAGAGGAACATCGTCTGGCTTGCAGGTCTATACCATCAGGTTGGTGTTCCATGTGGGTCGACCTTTCTCAGGTGCAACCAGTGGTTCCAAAGGATTCAGACTTGGGTTTGCTGAGAAAAGGAACCCAGAAAGAATCAATCATCTTCCCACCTGGACCTTCCGAACTCAAAGTGCCCTGGAGATCAGTGGAGCTTTCAGCCAGGTGACCCCGAGTTTGGAAGGTGCTGGCACACATTCTCCTGGCATCCATAGGGAGAAACACCATATCACCCTGACCAGGCCCTCAGCACCAGGAAAGCCACGAAAGTGCTTGGGGTCAGTGGGATCAAAACTGGGCCAGCGATTTCTTCATGTTTCTGATTCAGCTTCCCAGGTTTTCGAAAGAAGTGCCGATCACTTTCGAAAGGAACATCTAACTGTTTCTTCCGGGTTTTCTTCTTCTTCAGCTTCCCAGGTTTTCCAGGTTTTGGGGGGCTCCTCCCCGCTGCAACCTGTTGCGCACACCCCTCACGCCACCAGGCCGCCACGCCCGGATGCTCCGTACGCTGCTCTCGAACTTGCGGCGGGTGCCGGTAGGCCGGAGAGTGTGCTTGGGCTGGAAGATCTTCTGGATGCGCTCGATCAACCTCGGCCGCGAGGCCGGCGATCGAGGTTGACCAACACGAAGCAGCGATGTGGCGGAGCTTCTCTTTCGTCTCGTGGGGAGCATTGGTTTTGGAGCAGCTTCCTCTTAGGGAGCTGTTTTGCTGTTTGGGACACTGCACTGGGTGTGCGAAGGGATCAAGTCTCCTCCGAACCCTGCTTCCGGGGGATTGAGTGAGAGTGAAGAATGCCGAATGCCCATTTGATGGGTCACCTTTCAAACTGCACGGTCATTGGGAATTCCTAGGGTATGCCATCATTGATTCCGTCAATCCATGGTGACGGACACTTCAACATGCTGGACAGCTGATTTCCCTGCCAGTCTGCACCTCTGCGGGGAGCTGCGTCGACCTGTGCGTCGCCTTCATCACGGTGAAGTCGGACAATGTGGACCGGGACTGCACTTTCTGCGGCAGTCTCAGTGATTTTCAGTAGCATATTGAATGAGTAGGGAAGTTTACCTCTACCAAATGTACACTGTGACGTCTTGGAGATACCAAAGTGCCACGTCTCAACAACTGTTGCCTGACCTTGTGTAAATTGTTAACGACTACTGTACAGGTCCTAGGTCTCAAATCCTCCACCCTTTTGGCCAAAGCGGCTCCATCAAGTTGCCTTCTTCCGCCTCCTCGCCATACTCCCGAACAATACCTCAAGCGTGGGCGAAACACCAAGGCCGGTCCGGCGGTTGAGATCGGGAACGCCTGGGGTGTCGCTTGCACTATAGGGCAGAGTGTGCCCCGGGCGGGTGGAACAGTTCCAGTCCCAGTTCCACGTCGTCCAACACAGGAGACTGGGGAGGGGGGGAGGGGAGTTCCAGTTCCAGTTCCAATTCTGGGTCCGAGTCTGGATGTGATGGCCAATGTCAGTTTACTGTCAAATTCTTTTTCCCCACTTCCCCCCACAAATTTAAAACTGGCCTATGGAAACTGAGGTGAACACATGTGAACACCACACAGCGGTGGGTCCGTTTCAATTCACACCCCATCTTGGCCTCCGCCGAGACTTGGGCTGGATCATCCAAAACGGCTGGGCAGGGTAGAGCGGCGGCATTTGGCACTTCACTGCAGTTCTCACTGACCCCATGCGATTCCACGACAACTACATTCTCCGCTCTGGCGCACAAGAAGCCAAAGGAAAAGGAGGCTCAGAAGGAGGAGATGGGAATTGGTCAGGTGGCTCAAAGCTTGCACACTCCAGAAAAATGCAAGTAGAGAACCTGGAGTTTTGGAGTTCGTCTTGCAAATGTCATGTTCCACTTCCACGGGTGCTGGACAATGCTGGACATAACTTGGACATGTAGGACAAACTTGCTGCCCACCCACAAAATGATCAGGCCACCTGGCTCAGGAAGTCCAGTCCTACCAAGGGATGCATTCTTGAACTAAATGGAAGGCATATACCAGCACCCCCAAGGGGTGGTTAATGGATACCCCTTAACAGCTAAGGGGCTACTATATAACAAACACCCCTTGGAGGGTCCTGGGATGTCCACCTAGTCCCCCGTTCTGCACCAGCTGGAAAATGGAAGATGACTCGACCCGCTTCTGAGGAATGAACATCACTTTCCAGAAGTCCACCTTGCCTTGTTTTCTGTCAAAACTCTTGAGACTTTACACCCCCCCTTATCCGACATTGTAGAATCCACTCTGCCCTAACCAGACTCCCCAACGACGAAAACGCGGCTGAAGGGCTCTTGTAGGACATGTGTGTCTTGACCGAGGCCATTCGCCGCGTCCGTTCTTGGATCCTTGGTGTTGCCACAGGCGTGCTAACCATTCAAGCATAATAGAAACTAGCAGTTTTCCCACCCTGATTAGATGTCCGCACAGAGTGGATGATACACATATAGTTTGACATTCGTTAGCAAGCACCGAAGTGATAGTCCATGATTTCATGCTTCTTGAATGATCATGATCCTTCCACCATGTTGCAAACCAAATCTTGTGAAAGTGTTCTTTCCCGTGGTGGCAGCCAAAGCTGTTGAAAACCGAAAAATATCTGCAGCCGCTTGCACTTCTATAGTTGAATGGTAGGGAATACATTTCTACGATCTTGTGACCAGAAAATGCAGGAAATAGTGGTAGTTTTAGTGTTCGTAGATGTTCACTATACATGGGATCACCCCACAGGTACCTAAAAAAAGTATCGTAAGCATACGGTACCGAACGCATCACCTCCGCTTCCTTCTTCACCGTCCGCACCACACGGTCACAAGGTCGGCGGACGCGTGAAAGCCGGCGCATTTTCACTTGTCTTCATCTATCTGCGACGCTACAAGGGTTGTTCATCTGATACGCAAAATCCACAGGTGTTCTTCTTTCCAAGGGGATTTTTTCAAGTCCCAATGTGTCTTTTACGCACTATATATAGGTCAAAGAGCCCTCTATATCAAACCAAAGCAACAAACAGGGAGTCTGGGATGCGCAGCGGTGTTTTTTCACTGAAGCTGATTGCATGCGAGGGTCAAGTTCAGAATGATTCTCTCCCCCCCTAGGGGTCCAAATACCTTCTGAGGAGGTAGTTGGAGCCCTAGGGCTCAACCAAAAACGTTTTCCAACAGGTCACCCCCTGCGACTTTTAGGTTGCCACTAGCCTCAAGAAGAAACCTGTTGGAGGGGGTCGGTAGCTGTCAGTAGCAAAGATTTGAAGCTGGTACCCTTCCAGGAAGGGATCCAATGGTGAACATACTACCCGCACCCGCAGCCCTACAGGGGCTCCCGGGCCGCTTGCGAAACTCCATCTGATGCCTCGGACGGAAAGCATTGGATGCCCCCTTGGTCGAAAAGAGAGACCTCAACTGTATAAGTGGGCTTTCTCAAAGCATAAACCCTAGCAGTCGAACCACCATTGTTTTAATAGCCTTTACCGAACCACCATTGTTTTACTAAGGGTTTACACTACAAAACCATATCATCAGATCAACCATTTAAAAAGTGGTCATTGACTTCCAGGGTAAATTTGTAGAGCATCAGAAGTAAGCATATCAGGACACTTCTCCATCCTTACATGGTGCAGTGACCGCCTTCATGAATATATTATTGTACTTCCCGGCTGCAAAGCCTTGCAGAACCTTGCAAAGCCTTCTTCAGTGTTCCAATGTGTTCCAAAAAAGGAGGTCATCGGTGCTTTTTGCCACGTTTTGGTCGTACCCAGCGGAGCTCGAATCCGTCGGATTCGTCCGACGCCGGTGGGCTGCTGGCTTCTTCGCTCTCTCAGTTGTGTACATCCCTCTGGGGGCATCTTCCTCTTAGGTGGTCAAGATCCTGCACTTTGGTGGTGAACTCCCGGGAGAGGAAAAAAACAAAGAAACAACAGGACTGCTGAGCTTGACAGTACATGTGAAGCATAAGAACGCACCTGCCTCTGAACCTTGGTCTCGTAGTTTAAATCGAAAATGAGCTTTACTTACCCAACATCTAGGCAACGTGTGGCAGAGTCGCTCCAAACACCATCTCCAGACTCATAACGGATGCTCTGAACACATGGACATCCTTATAATTCTCCCGCCAAATCATTGGACTTTTGGTCATCATACCCAGCCGCTCCATGTATGCCATATATGCCTACATTGACCCCCCAAACCACCCCAATGTAGGCATATATGGCATACATGGAGTGTCTGGGATATAGCATCATATAGCCCAATCATGGGCTACTCCCCAAACATGATAAGCCAAACTGTTGCCCCACCAAAGCTTCCTGAGGAATCGGGACTTGGGGTGTCCGGACTCGGTTTCTTTTTGCTTGGACTCCACCTTGACCTCAAGCTTCTTCAGCCTCGGCTCGGGCCGGCTCGGCTCAAGTGCTGAATGGGCACGGGATGGGTTCCATCATCAGAAGCCAGGTTGGGGGGGACTGACACGGCTCGAAAAGGAACATCACCCCATCATGCCCCATCAACCAAATCAGGGACACCAAAAATCACCGACCTCGCAGCTACTTCTTGCGGAATCAACTCAAAGACCTCAGACGGGTCTTTCAATTGACTGGAATCCACACTCCGCTAACATGGAAATGGAAAACCACCTGTTTGGTATTGGGAAATTGTTCTTCACTGGGGCCATGCCATCCACTTCCAGCCAGGTTAGTGAGCCAGAGTGTACTGAAGCCCATACTCCAGAAGTCACAAAGGGGTGTCTTAAGGGAGAACAGGGGTGCCCAGAAGATCCACTCACTTGGGGACTGAAAACCACCCCCTTTGTGACTCCTGGTTGTTGTTTACATGTGTTTTTGTCTTTTCCCTCAGGCCTTAGGCCGTCCAGGTTGCCTGATAACCTGGAGTGAGGCATTCCACGCGAGGCCGTCTCGAGTGATGGAGTGATGTCCCCAGGATGGACTGATGGAACACACATTGTCAGGGGGGGTCGTGTCTATATAACCATGGGAGGAACATGGTTTAAAAACATCTGGATCATCTGAATGTAATGTGTTCTGCCGACGATGGAGATGTTCCATCACCCCAGCCCGCATGTTGCTGCGAAGAGGAGGTCCTAGAGTCCAACTGAGGTCCTAGAGTCCAACTGAGGTCCTAGAGTCCAACCACATCGACCAAGGAGCTCTTCTCGCCTGGCTTCATCCTCAAAGGCTGGCACCAAGAGCTTCTCCGAGGTCATGCCTGGAACCGCACTCCCCGCCGCAGGCGCCCCCCGTACGTTCGACCCTGAGAGGTCACCGGATTTGGCGTCCCATTTGACCATCAACACCGCCTGAAGTTTGGGAGTTCCTTGTTGTATACTCTCCTGGAACTCACATGGAAGTGGATGGCACCACCTGTTTGTAGTGGATTTCGTGGTCTTCCCTTGCGGGGCCATTCTCCACTTCCATGTTAGTTCCAGGGAGTGTAACCTGCAGGGGGGACGCAATGGAGTCCTGTTGAGATACCTGCAGTCCTGGAGGCCTCCAAACCCCGGACCCTGTGAGTGTGCAAGGTGACCCAGGCTGTCAGCAGGACCTATTTATATATACCTGGACCTTCAAGGGGTGTCTAATGGAAGTCCCTAAGTAGGGTAGGGGCTTCCAGCCAGGTGACCCCGAACTGAAGGTGCTGGTAGGTTTACCATCTTATGGTACTGATGGTTTACCCGGCCTTCAGGTGGTTTGGTGGAACGCGTAAATACAAAAGGATACTTCTTGAAGAGGTCACTTCGTGGGCCTTATTTCACCCCGGCCCCCCCTTTGTGGAACTTGTATGCATGCGTAGGGAAGAAGTTCAGCGAGCGTCTTCTGCAAACCCAAGAAGTCCACATCCAACTGGGATGTACCACATGCAAATCACCGCTTCCAATCATTTGGCCAGGTTCCTCTCGAGCACGTCGCGTGATATCTCAGTCCCCTCGCTGTACGGCCACCAAACTCTTGCCCCTTCCACACCAGAACCGGCCGCCCTCGCTGCAACGGGCATTGATCCATCATTTGCTCTGCTGGTTTCCAGCACAGACTTCCACCCCAGCCCGTCGGTCAGTCACCGAACAGCTCCGTCGTCTCCGCTCTGCACGTGTCGCGACGTTCGCGACGTTCGCCGAAGCGACCGAACACCCACGCGCCGCCTTCCGCCGCCTTCCGCGTCGCGCGGTCCACCCGTCAGTGGGGGCTGGCGGTCGTCCCACGGTCCCCCGGCCTTCACGTTCCATGCGCTCCAGGAGCTTCTCGATGCGCAAGGACCGCCTTGCGGTGCCCAGCTCCTTCGGTGCACGGGTGCGGTGGCGACGGACCGTGCTGGACCGTGGTGGATCGAGGAATTCCAGGGGGTGACTTGGTCTAGACCCAAACGCGACCGGGACTGCCAGTCCGGACTGCCGAGAAACGGCCAGGGGTGGTGTGCGGGGTCAATCTAGGCATATATTCCACATCATGGAGTATCTGGATATAGATGACTTTGTTTTTTGACTTGAACGTCCGAATGGAGTCACCATCGCTGCAAAGGATGTTGGGTGGAAACCACTGTGTGACATGGAGTTCTTTTCAGTGTCACCGTGCTTTTTTCCATCACCGCTTTCAGAAAGACATCCGCTCCAAGGCTGTTGATCTGACATCACTGGCATGTCCATAACTACAACATGTTGTCTTCGACGTGTCTTGTCTCCCACGGTTCTAGTGCCAGATCCATGACAGCTATAGCCATATATGGAGCTGGGACACATCCAAGCCCATGAACCTCGGAGCAAGTAGAGTTAAGTTGAGTGGCAAAACCCTCTCACTCAACAGGATGTTCCAAAGTGGGAAAAAGCCATGCGAATGGTGTGGTGGAAACGCCACCTGATGCTGGTAAACGAGACACATCTGCCGAGTGTCACAAAAACACGTCCCCCAAACGACCTGCAAACCTTCCTTTTGGTCCAAGTGTCGCTCCCAGTCTGCACACACCACAACGACTCAAACGAACACTAAACAGATCTAAACCGCATGGCCAGTTGCCCAATCTTTCCTTCTCAAAAACAATATTGTTTTTTACATATTGGGCTGGCGTCTGTCATATATACGATACCGCCAGTTCCATTCATTGGTTTCCCGGCTTGCCAGCGCTCCAAGGATGGAATGAATAAGAATCGGTGGCAATATATGCTTTGGACACCTGAGATAGTAGGCAAATCAAAAGCTGTGAAGATGTTGCACTATAGTCCCATCTCATATTGGGGACCAGGTATTAAACCCGCCCCACCGTCGCGACGAACGAAACCGCGCCACGTCACCGGTGAGACCGAGTTTCGGTTGCGACGAAACCGCACGCCTCCGAGGGCCGACGGCGAGTGCGGCCTCGGCGTTAGGCGTTGGCTCCCAAAGAAGACCGTGGACCAAAAGCGGGGTTGGGGTTTTATGTGTTTCTTTGGGGAGGAGAGTGGATCTTCTTTTTGGAGAGAGTGGATCGTGGTTTTTGGTCTTTTTCCGTTTTGGGCTTGGGCCGGGGTTTTGAGTAGGATGTGACCCCGAACTCGAGGGGGCAAGAAGGCAATCGACCCCATCCAAGTTCGGCACTCCGAATATGTTCCCACCTGGGAAAACCTTAGAGCTTCGTCTGGGGTGCTGGACCTGGCCCCTATAGGAGCTCAACGTTGTATATGAAGGAACATGAAACATGGCTTGCGAACATCGCAGAGTGAGATGAGTCTGACCTGGCATGAGCATGCATGTTCAAAAAAATCGGGGGGGGGGTATCAATCCCTACAGGCCCTACATGTGACTTATTTTTGGAGGGAACACACCTACGCGGCATGACCATCTACGCCTTTTTGCGGGTTGTGCTACACGTCTTTGATCTCAAACCTTTGAGGGTCTTCTCCAATCGCTCAAGCCCCTCCGCCAGCGTGAGATTTCCTGGCTTTAATTTGGACAAGAAACGAAGGTAGGTTTCCTCAACTTTGGCCTGGAGGCTGTGCACGACACGAGCATGTGGCACCCCGAATTGTTATTCAAGGCCCTCCACATGTTTGCATCACCAGTTCATGAGAGCGGTGGGTACCAACTGATTCTTGGATTGCCCTGATTGCCCTGTTGTCTACCCACTCGAAGATGAAACTAGTCTTCCATACATGCAGGGACATGTTTGCTTTCCATTCCAGTGAGTGAACGTGAGGCAGGCGCCCTATTTATCCTAACAAGCTCCATCCAGTGACGCGGTGACGCGTAGAAAATACGATACGTAACTCCTATAATACTGTGGTCTGTGGTTGATACAACTTCAGTTGGTATCAACAAATGATCAGTGGTGGTCTCCCTCATCTTTCTTCCCACCAGCGGGGCATCCATGAAACCTCGGTGTTCCACCACCTCTTCAGAGGCGGACCGTGCGGATCCAGTTCACCCAGTGCAGAAAGTGCGGGAATGGTCGATTGGTTTTCGCCTCTGCCCCAACCAAAGGCACCAAAGCACAGGCAGGTCTGGAAACTGCACACCTGAGCCTGCTTGGCCAAGGGACTGGACACAGGGATCCAAGGACGACTGGGAGAGTAGAATGCTGCCTCCATCAACCACTCTGCCCTAGGGCGGGCGGGCCTTAACCTATTGAACTCAACGATTCAACCCCAGAATTTCTCCCAATGAACATCTCTGCCACCAAACAAGCTCTGTTCTGCGAAATCCAGGCGAAGAATGCGACCACACATCCTTCCGTCGTGGCGTCCGACAAAATTGTCCAAAGATCACTCCCAAACACGACTCATGCTCCATACCTAGCACTTCCTGTCCGGGTGCCCTGGAGTAGGAGACCTGTTTACGTAGGATAGGGTAGTCGAACGCCAGGACACCCAGATGGTCGGATGATCCTGGTACATTGACCCCGACTTCAACCACCCCTGGCCGTTTCTCGGTGGTCGCCGGACCCATGAAACGTGTTTGGGACTTCCAAGAACCGTCTCGTTGCGCCCCATGGTGCGCGGTTCTTTTCCACCAGGTCGACCCCTTGTTTCGGCCAAACAGGCCCAGTCCCAAGAGCGCCGGATCGGAGAAGGTCCCCAAACGACGAAAACCATGGCGCTGGAACATCGACGTTGAGCGGTCGCTTCACGTTCGGACCCTGCTGGTGTACATCTGGGATGGGCGTCCTTAGGGCTGTTCAACCTCTCTTGGTGTTTCAAGAGAGGTTGAACAGCCTGAAAACGCCCATCCCATACGTACCACTATGGAGTCCGAACGTTCAGGTCTCTCAACCTCTCTTGGTGTTTTCAACTCCATACCCAACCGATCCGGTTGTTTCGATGCCAACTCCGACTCTTCAGTCGAAGTCGAACCGCCACGGGAGACCGGTCGACCCGTCGAACCGCCTCGTGGAGCGGGTCGGGTAAAGACTCGGGCTCCTGGGGGGGTCGGTGGTTGCTCCAGAAGCAGAGACTAGAGTCGAGTGGTAGAAGGAACGGCACCAGAACAAGAATTGAAGAGCTTATTAAGCCCTATAGCCTATGGCCTTCAAAGAATATGTCAAAGACTGGTTGACCTTGTCTTTGTAAAGCAATGGTTCTTTGGACACGACATGTAGGGACCATTGAAGCAATGGTTGTTGGGATCCCAGGGTTCAGTTTTCCCAGTGGTGAAGATAGGAAGGGGAGGAAGGGGAGTGCCCAACTTGTGTCTGCGAGCTTTGAGGGCATTTGGCCGGACCTTGCTTACTTTGCTATCATCGCCCCTAAAGTGGCTTGAAGACCTGAAAATACGGGTTCCTGAAATTTCCATAAATTTCCTGAAGCTACCTACGCACATCATGTTTTCAAACATAATGGGGGTGGCCGAAGAAAAGGCTTTGATAAGGAACCTGGACACATATTCACCACAAGGGGATTTAACCATAGCAAATGCAACATCACCTTAAGCCAAAACCTGAATACAGTTGACAGTTGGCCACTATGGAGACATACCAAAAGATTGCTCAGTCGGCTAAGGATTGGCGTGACGAAATGGTTGGCCACTACGTTGGCACCAATTTTGGTGTTCCAATGAAGTGAGTCGTCTGGGTATGCAAGCGACAAACATTGAATTAGAGGCATACCAGGCGTGTTTTCCGTGTTTTCCTATAGTCCAATAGCCTATAGCTATAAATATGGCCCACCTTCCCATTTACAGCAACCAGAAATCTGATGAAATCTCAAGGTTCTAGGAATACCTTGACCTGGCGAGGTATGCCAGCATCGTCATTAGTTATGTAGGCGAAGCCGCCCAGAAGCTTTAAAACTCTGCCCCTCTCTGTGTGTGTTCTTGCTCTCACCTGTTGGCAAGGCCATGAAGTGGATCTGCATTTACATCGTCGTAGGGCTTGATTTTCCGATCCTTCAGGCAGCTTCCATACAAATACAAAGGTCATATACCCTGGGGCTCCAAGTAGCTCCTGAGAAAGTGTTTGGAGTGGGTTTGGAGGATCCACATGCCTTCCGAGGATGTATCTTGCAGTCCTAGGGGCATTGCTTTACAGCATTCCACTCTATCTATATCTCCCAGACACTCCATGTATGCCATATATGCCTACATTGACCCCCCAAACCACCCCAATGTAGGTAAATATGCCATACATGGAGTCTCTGGGTCTAACAACCATTATAACATACGTTTCCCCGTTGATATCTTCCACCCAGATCCGCACACGATTTTATTGGGACAACACTCACCACTGAAGCACCACCTTGGCGACTTACGTATGGCAATTGGCAACGCTCGTACAAAAGACTGGTCCTCCTCAAGCTTCTTCCGCTCTGGGTCGTCCTGGCTTGGCTTCTTGGAAGGAACGCACCCGCACATCAAGTGGAAGTGAGCATACCTAGGTTCTATAGGTACCTAGCGCTTCCAAGGGGTGCCCAATGGAGACCTGTAAGTAGTGTGGAGATGTCCATTGGTGACCCCTTGGAAGCAGCTGGTCTACGATGGTATACGGCCTTGCCATTTGCAGCCTCGGATGCCCACACCTGGGTTTCCAGATGACGGGTGTTAAACGGATGGCAAGAGGTTTCTACCTACCATGGTCAACCATAGTCCCCTACGGAGACTCCTATGGCATGACTTCACCAGAGACAAGCCCTGGTGTAGGTGGGCAGCCCGTCGGTGCGCCGTCGGTGCGCAGGCTGCGTCCTTGGCACCACAAGGCCTCGGTCCACCGAGGGGCGGAGCGGGTCCAGTGAGGCAGGCACGGTCGGTCGTGTCTTCGGTGGTTCGGGTGTCACGCGGGTTTTCCAAGGCTTTTGATTAATGGTTTTTTCAGGGAAAGGAAGTTTGGCAAAGTCTCTTGAAATCATCTGGAAACCCCAGCAATCCCGTTTAAATAGTTAAAATCACTTTGACCCTATACTTTACTTAAATATAGTACCTACACAATCCGTCGTCATGTGCCAGTAGGAAGAACATGGAAGGAGGCCTTGCCATAATGCCACTGCGAATGTAGCCATAATCATAGCGGGCTGGAAATCCTGCACGAATGGTTCCACCAAGCCAGGTCGAATGACCTTCTTTCGCCGGCTTCGACCATGGGCCAGCTTCCCCAACCACTCCATGGGACTTCTTCATATCCCAGACACGACTAATGTAGTTCTGCCGCCCCAGAAAGACCCCCCCTGGCACCGCCCCTGGTCGTTTTGAAGGCAGTCCGGACTGGCAGTCCCATGGGACTTCTTATATAATATATATCCCCTAGAGATCCAAGTTCGCCTACATGAATAGTCTCCAATCACCTTCTGAGAAGGTACTTGGATCCCTAGGGATCTACATGGGGGTGGAACATCGGTCGGGTCGTGGAGGCCGATCTTCCAAGACATGTCGTGTCGCTTTACGAGGATCGTGGCCGAGCGAGCGATCGACCGAAATCGAGGCGTGGGTCGTGGATGAAACCCGGCGTTCCGGAGCCAGGCAAACCACCAAGAGTGGGCAACCAGTGGTTCCAAAGACTACATCGTTGTAGACCTCCACACCTTGGTTCATGAGAACATGGCTGCCCGTGCTGGGTAGTTCCTGGCTGTGATATTCTGCCGGTGGATGCCGCTCCAAAGAGCTGACACATGACTGAAGTGGATGGGCTGAAGTGGATGGGCAGGGTCACCATTGAGCTGAGGTGACATGGCCATTAGGGCCATTCATCAAGTTATAGTGGATTGAGAGTAGATGGCACAATCAATCCTCCGAGTTTGGAGCTCTTTGAGAGACGCCTTGAGGTGCCAGCGCCATCTACTCTGAAACCACTGCAGTTGAAGCAATGGCGGCTGCGCGAACGACGTCACTGTTCACGTCCCGACACTCGATATCTCGAAGCTGGCACCTTCATGCATCCTGCAAGGGACGTTTATATATCTATTTACACTGTGTAGACAAGGTCTATTCCAGGTCTGAGATACCAAAACACCAAAGCTTCTCCGCTTCACCGGCCTAGGGCCAAAAGCACAACCCGGTAGAGCCTGTAGGCTGCAAAGTGCTGGTTTCTGGGCCGAACAGCTCTACCAAAATGATATGGGACGTATTTTTCATTATGTGGGCGCCTACCCCCACTTAAGTTCCTAGCATTTGGACCAACAGCCAGAATAGGGCCATAGTCGTCTTTGTTTGGGTGAGGTATCCAGCAATGGAGGTCCTTCATCCGCAGGTGGTGGGTGCGACCTCCAAATCACCAAACAAAAAAAGAACAACGATCCGGAAGAGGGTTAATCAAGCAAACTAGAAAGACTCTAGTGAAACATCCTTGAAATCAATATCCTACCAGCTGCTTCCAAGGGGTCACCAATGGACATCTCCACACTACTTACAGGTCTCCATTGGGCACCCCTTGGAAGCGCTAGGTAGGGAAGATCTGTGTTCTTCCCGTTCATCGCTCGTTCTCGATTTCTTGGCATGTCGCACCAAACCTTTCCAGCCAGCGATGATGATACAGCGACGAGACTGTCTGGGGTAAAAGGTAAAACCATTACCAGGGCCCAGTGGATGATGTTATAGGTTAGGTTGCAGGGCCCAGCCGTGACCATCGTTCTGCTTGTTCGCCACGCGCGATTTTCGATTTTCGCCCGTTCAGCCCCCCGGGCCAGCACGTGGCCCCTAAGTGATCCGGTGCCGGCGAAAAGGCCCAGGGGTGGTCGATTTCAGGGATGTACACTCTGACCCACTATTATACCAACAGACGTTAAGTGACCTTATAGGACCCTACTGGGGTACCTATATATAGGATAGTCTGGAATAGGGTGCCTCAAAATCTGCTGGTACCGCCAGACTGAAATGTTACTGTAGAATGTGGTTCCCCTTTTCTACGATTACTGTAAGGCTTAGAATGTCCGACTCATTTTCATAACATGAAATTGGAACATACAGGAGTCTCCGGGAAGACCATGGAAGTCTCTACGAACAGGAGGTTTTCTACGTCCATGTTAGTGATAGGGAGTGTAGGCAGAGATACCAGCACCATGCTTTGTGGAATGGGGGCAGGCCAGCGGCCCTTCCGAAAGCAAGTTTTCCACGGTGATTCCACCCATCAAACACATTAATTCACCAAAAAAATCAATCCAACATGATTCCCCTCTAAACCAGCACCCCCAGTCGGGGTGGTTCATGGACACCAAGGGGCTACAAATAGACACCCCACCAGGAGGGTCCTGGAATCAGCTTTTCCTTAAGGGGCTATAAATAGACTCCCTTGGAGGGTCCTTGGAGGGTCTAAAGCAGCTTTCCGCATCTGAAAATCCATCCCTAGGGCTCCGAGGACCTTCTTAGAAGGTGTTTGGGGTGGGTTTAGAGGGGCCAAATACCTTCTAAGGAGGTACTTGGAGCCCTAGGGCATGTCATCCTCCATGTCAACCTCCGCCCCAACGTCCTTCGCCCAGCTGCGACGCTCGGACCAGTCCACGTCCCGCAAGGGCGCGGCCGGCGGCACCACCGAGTCGCGACCTCGGTCGGCAGCTGACGGACGTCGCAATGAGCCTGCGATTCAAACGACGTGGGCGCTCTAAAGTGCGATACCAGGGAAGGAATTGATGGTGAATCAAACCAAGTGGAAACGATGGAAATTGACCCAGGGCCTAGGGGATCCGGGATGGTCTTTTTATTCCATACATGGAGTGTTTTGGTCAATGGGAGCCCTTCCGATTGGTCGCTTGAGGTTGTGAATGAGAACATGGGATCCACATGCTCTGAAGAACTGATGGAACAATGCTTGTGGTGATTCACACTGCTCTTTGGTAAATGGAGTGTTTTGACCCTCCACCTGCAAGGTGTTGGTTAGGACCTCAACCAAGCCAATAGCTTCAAGATGCTTATATAGGGCAAATCTGACAGACTTGCGACAATTGCTGCATACTTGGCAAGGTCGCTAGGTGTTGCTGCCTCCTCTGGACGCTCGAATGCGAAACCATGTTGAACAATGTGACGAGTGAAAGTCATGTGATTCATCTGAGATTCTCTTGTTGATGGCTGCTTTGCATAGTCTTCAAAAAATATCTTCCAAAGTCGGATTCCTCCAAAGGAAGAGTGCAGTGCGTCCTGAAGTAGAGAGCCAGTACGTCCTGGAGAGCCAGGTTCTGCAGGTAGAGAATCCAACAAACTAACAAAGGTTAAATGGCCCGAACTAGACTATCCCAGTTCGCTACCCCAGTAAGGTCCTAGTTCAGGTCGCTGGCTACCTCTCCTGGAAGACGCTCTCTGCTGTCTCTGTTCGCTGGTTCTTCCTGTTGGAGGCTCCCTGGTCGACCGACCCGCTGTGCACAGTTCATAGTACATCACAGTTCCACCCGACCTGCTGGGCACTATGCATAGGAGAGCAAACTCAACCATAGGTACACTCCGGCGAACACATCACAAGGAAGTGGAAAAGCGCTGGTTCGTCAAGGAAGGTCGTCTTCCAAGGATCTTAGTGAGTCAGAGTGTAAATGCCTGCGCGCTGGAGGTTGATTGACTGGCTACTGCAAAGTCTCATCAGTAATCTGCTCGCTGCAACCACAACTGTTGTGGACGCTGTCTTTGATCGACAACGCAATACTACAAATCTACAAAACAGCGTTTCAGCACCAACCACATGCCACTGCGCTATCCAATGTGCTGCACAATTCATTGTGGAAGACCCACTGTTACACAAACTATATCGGCTAAAAAACACACTAGCAGCCGGCCAGCCACAAAACATGCACCAGCGCACCGGTCGACGCATGAAACACTAATTTTCTTGCAGGTTCAAAACCCCCGTAAAACGTTGTCCTTTACTCCACTCTTCAGAGCTCCTTATATGACCAACCTCAGCAAAACGAGGCCTTCGTCCTGTTGATCAAATCTCATCCGGATGGCAACCCTCATCGGCGGACTGAGCGCTCCTGCCCTCGCCCGGCCATGAGACACACACCGCCACCTCCCCACGGAAGTGTGACCTCGGTCAACGCTTCGGTCGAAACCGGTCAACGCTTCGGTCGCCGGGGGGAGCTCCGGAGACCTGGAGCATGGGATTCTTTATACCAGCACCCGACTTGACCTGCCAGGTCACCAGGTCCACGAAATGAAGTCTCCATTTCGGAGACCTGGCAGGTCTCGGACGCCGTGATGCCCATGATCAAGGTTTGAACTGCAACACCGCAACAAAGGTATCCAGTGACCTGAACTAGAACCCGTCAGCTGGGGTACCGAACTAGGATAGTCTATAGGATAGACTATAGGGTTCTTCAACCTCAGCAACCTCTGCTGGAAAGCCTAGAAATCTTTTGTGGGAAGGTCTTGCTAGCTGAGTGGAGCTCCACTGGGGAGCAACTGGATCACTGCGGCTCCTTCCATCGCTCCTTCCTGAGCAGCTAGCTTGGATCTGGAGTTGACCCACGCATAGGGGAGACCAAGAGTACCTAAACCGAAGGAACACAGCGAAATGTGAGGCCCAGCGCTTTTTTTTCAAACTAGCTAGCCCAGCCAGAAGAAAGCTCAGTAGCTCATGTGTGTCATGTGACACTTGCTCTAAACCAAACGTCTTGCTCGACTTGGGACCGTCCTTGATGCGCTCAAATGCACCACCTGTACCGGTACTACGACTGGTACTGCAGACCTGGTACGCTCAAATGACATGATCCGGTGCTACCAGTATCCACTACCCGCTGCCCGTCTCCCGTCGCAGGTCTCCACCAGCTCTCCACCATCATTCCCAGAGACCTCTCTGGGTTGAGATATGATGAAGACATCATATTGATTTTTAAGCCTCTTTTCGACTCATGGATTTGACAGGGTCATTCTCCAAATGAAGGCTTCGAATGGTGAAGAAATCGTCCATGTACCACCTGAAACCAAGTGGAGAAAGGGTTTCCATCTACAATCACCCCGCGCAGATCACGCGTGAGACGCAGTTTACTCAAACACTCCATGGGACACATGGGACAAGAAGATGGCGGAATATCTGCCTACATTCCCTAGGTTCAAGTACCTTCTCAGGAGGTGATTGGAGACTATTTATGTAGGCTTTGGATGGCCCAAGTACCTCCTGAGAAGGTGTGTGGATCCCTAGGTATTGACCACCAACCCCCCCCAATGTGGGTGGGTCGATCTCCCAGGGGTGGTAGACATGGAAGAAGCTCAGCGCACTGAGGCTGCAGCGAAGATTCATCATCATCTGGCGAGGGTGGGTCCGGGTGAAGGTTGCAAAAATCAAGTCTATGCCAAGTTACTTTATTCTTTTTCTCTGACACCCCTTAAAATCTATAAGAGTCCATTTATAGACACCCCTTGGAGGGTCCTGGTATAGAAGAAGTTGAAGGAACATAGCAAGCACTTGCAGTCACAAAGGGGTGCTTCATGGAGGTCAGGGGTGCCCAATATCCACTCACTTGGGGACTAAACACCACCCCGTCTTGTGACTGGTGCATATAAATTTATGATTCACACCGACCGCAACACGAAGTCAAATGGATCCCGATTTCACACAGCCAAGCCTTGAAGCCAAGCCAGTGGAACTCGTCTCACAACAGTCGCGTCGGTTCGGCCGAACCTGGCCCGAAGAGGAGGCGTTGGTCCACCACAGCGGTGTGGGTCCTCAGCGTGCTGCGCGTGGTTCCACCCCAAAAAAGGAACCCAATCTGCACCCCCAACGAGTGGTTAATGGACACCCCGAATCACAGCTAAGGGGCTATAAATAGACACCCCACCAGGAGGGTCCTGGTTGGAGTGGTTCTTTTCGACCCGGACCCTAAATGCCTAAAAGATGGGGCACCCCCCTTTAGGGTTGTGAGAGACTCCCCAATATTCCATGTGTGGACCAGCTCGTGTGGAATTGGGCACCTCTCAACACAGACCTCCTGCAAATGTTCTATCCCAGACCATCCATGGGACTGGCCTATTCACCTACGTTGGGGTGGCTGAAGGCTGAAGCGGGGTCAATGTATATATTCCAGTCCCATGGATGGTCTAGGAGGAACTACCAGCACCTCCTCACAACACCAGTTGAGACCCCGCCAACAAGGCCTCCAAAAACCTCCGGGCACCCGAAAACACACGGCATGCCACCTTCCGAATCACGGCTGGAGACCTACCACCTTTCGGCCGCCGAAGGTCGAGATCTCCAGCCGTGGCACCCTGGTGGTTTGGAAGGTGGTTTGGACTACCGCGGTCGCATGTGACGAATCCCAATCACCGAGTTAGTGCTAAGTCTTCGAAATCTGAGCTCCTCCACGGAGTCCTGGAGCTCCTCCACGACCGTCGTATAGAGGATGAATAAACCCTGTGAGTCAAAAAGACTATAAAAAAGAATGGTCTTTAAGGGAACTGAACGGAAACTTCCTTTACTCCAGCCGGTCAAAATATAGTCTTTGGACCTCCAGGGTAAATATATATGTATATATATATAGATATGAATAAAAAGCATATCATAACACTTACAACCGCAAGGATGAAGACTTAAAAACCGTGGTAGCTGATACGTGTTTGTAGGGTATAGGGCTAGGGTGGGTGATCAACATTTGTAGCAAATATGATGTAGTTCATGGGCACTTTCTTCAAGCTGACGCTGACCACAAGCACTTGTCATCCCCCCAAGCTCCGGATCCCATAACCTGGCACCGAGCGGCACTTTCCCCTCGCGGTTCGGCAACTCGACCTCCACCTGGGACCGGTGCCCCGGGTTTCGGTGAGGAAAGGCCCCGAATTCGAGGCATCCACTTGAGATGTGGTTTTAGATGGTTTTAGAGTACCAGGATACTACCCTATCCTACGTAAACAGGTCTCCTACTCCAGGGCACCCGGACAGGAAGTGCTAGGTAGTAGATGGTTTGAAAGGAAACCATGCAAAAGACCTCCCGGGTGCCAGTGCCATGTCTTCTCACCCCTGAAACCACTGTAAGGTGCCAGATGCCCAAACAATCTTTGGGAGGAGCTCCTCGGAGCCTGGACCGAACCCTGTCCAGGCTCCAAAAGGTCCCGATTCTTACAGGTCACCCGTCCGCGACCCGAACTCGGGCCCGAACCTATGGAGGGGTGGACGGTCTGGGGTCGGCCCCAGCGTCCAGCCCATGCACCGAAGGCGGTCGCAGGAATTCAGGAACGTCGAAGTGAGTTTTCTCTCCGAGCCTGGAAACCTTCTGGCCTTCTTACCAATCCAGGCAGGGTGTTGGTGTACTGGAGCCATTATGTGGGTTTCCAGGGCCCATATATGGTGGGCATTGCTCTTCTAGCTGTGTGGGTTGACGAAGTGAGTTTAACCCTCTTGGGATGACCTCAGTGCATGGTGGCGGATGATGGTGGACCGCCGGCACGACCGAACAAATGAGCTGGGTGAAGAATCTGAATGAGCTGGGTTGAACATCAAGGGGTGCCTATTGGAGGATAGGGGTGCCCAGAACATCCACTCACTGAGGGGCTGAAAACCACCCCTTTGTCACTCCTGGCATGTCCAGGTTGGGTGGTTTATATCTGTACCCGCATCCGTCTAATGACATGTTGGAGTGCCGCCGAGCGCCAAACCTTTGAAAACCGTCTCCGACACGCCTGCCGTTTTAAACCAAAAGCGGAGGTCTTCCTTTGCTGTTCAGGATGGATGGTGAGATGTTGCGAGGTGTTGAGCCATACATCTACGGATGCTGCTCCAGGCCCGCGCAATGCCTTTGTGACCCCTGGGAGCGTTTTCCTGCAGGCGCACCTTCCCTAGGTTCTTGAACCCACCATGACCGGACGAGGTTGAAGAACCCGAACTAGACTTCTCCTAGTTCGGTACCCGAGGTGACGGGTTCTAGTTCAGGTCACTATCCACCTCTGTTGGATGACTGGACTGGATCCAGGCACAAGTTCGCAGAAACACGCTCCAGTTCGCCACACGCAGAAAGGTGGCCGAATCGCGCCTCGTGAGCGGCATGCCATCGATGCAACCAGCCTGAAGACGTACACCAGGTGCTTCACAAGACCTATCAGGACCTATCCCAAACAAACCCGACCGATTGGTTGGGGGTTGATTGGGGGGTCAGGTCCAAGAGCTGGCCACGAACGGTGCCGAATTCCTCTCCTCTCTCCGAAAACTCACAAGTGGAAGTGGAGTGAAAACCACCTGTTTTGGTCTTCGGGTTGAAAACGGTCCGAAAGGCAGCCGCCTGAATCGCCATGTTGACACTCATGCCGTGAGTCATGGCGACGGATGGGCGAGTCATGCGCCATCCATTCCAAATGCTGCTGAAAACGAGCTCACATCCAAAAACAATGTTCATCCACCAGCAGTCACAAAGGGGTGCTTAATGGAGGTTAGGGGTGCCCAGCTACTCCACTCACTGGATGGGACTAAAGACCACCCAACTCCATGTGACTCCCACTTTTCACTTCCAGGGAGTGTCGGAACTTCTTCCGGTTGAAGTGGAACTGGAATCAGCCATGATCGTGATCCATGTGCATCTTCCACTTCATGATTATTCCAGGGAGTGTATTTGGAATCATCGAGATGGGCGCTTTCAGCAATTTCAACGCTGCGCCACTTGCACAGCGAGCGCCGTTGCTTGTGGCGGGGAACTCGTTCAAAGGATGTTCAAAGAGTACTCGGAAACTCGATATGACACTCCCTGGAACATGGAAGAATGGCCGATGAGCATGTTCTGAATATTTACTACCAGCACCTGGCAGGTTCGGGGTCACCTACCTGTTGCCGCGGAAAACGCAGGACGTGGAAGTGGATGGCACCCCCTGATGGTCAAGGGTAAATGGTCTGGGCCATGCCATCCACTGCCATAGTTAGCTCGGAGTGTATTGAGAAAATGAGCCTGGCGAATCCATGACATTGCACCAAACGATCTTTGTAACTTCGATTTTTGGGTCGCCCGGGCGATGGTTTTTGAGGATCCAAACCCCGCCAATTCAGATGTCAATTCAGATGCTCCCTAGGGATCCAAGTACGTTCTCAGGAGGTGATTGGAGACACTGTTATGTAGGTTTGGAGGGTCCAGTCGTACCTTCTGACCAGGTACTTGGATCTCTAGGGGCTCTGAACATCAAAAACAGGTGCGCCATCGCAAACTCCCAAACTCCGAAGTTCGACGCAAGCAAACCGGAAAATCCCCTGCCTCCGGCTGAGATGTAGACCACTAAGGAGAGGTGTTGCGGCATCACGTGCACCGCCAGATTGAAACCTGAGACATCAATCCAGGTGCCACCGTGGAAAAAAAAGAACAAAGAACAAACAACACATCATACACACCAGCTGCTTCCGTTCGGGGTCACCTGGCTGGACATCTCCACACTACGTAAACAGGTCTCCAAACAGCAGGGCACCCCGACAGGAAGCGCTAGGCACACACACAAAAACAGAAAAAATCATGCAGCTCTCTGGACTCAAGTGTCCGGAAGGAAAAAAACAAAGAACACCATGTCCTTGAGCCGAGAGGGACCGAAGAAACCAGCATTCCCAGGTCTTGACAGCCCCACCACTTGAATGGTTTGAAGGCGATATATATATATATATGTGTGTGCAAAAGCCCTTTTCCTATCTCAAAAGTTTGACCCCAAAGGCTCATTGGACCCTCATACCAGGGTTTTGGACCTCCAACATGTAGCAGTTTGAGGGTCCATGAGCCTGGGCCAGATCTATTATAATACAGTACGCCCCTGCTAGACAAATAAAATCAAACAAACTCGTTGCGACTGGTCCCAGGTTTTATTGTTTTAGGAGCATGTTGCCATCTGGATGTCTGGATGTCCTCGCTTTTAGGCCATGGCCGGCCATGGCGGTACCAGTAGGGAGACGCCTAGTGCACCTGGACTCCAGGTGCCCCGACTATGCACCGGTCGCAGGGCTTCGGGCAAGCCAGGGAGCCCCGCCTCGTTCTTCGGATGTCGGAGGTGCGTTGGAAGAAACGTCCATGCGCGCATGAAAGACATGGAAGGCTCGGGCAAAATAGGCCACAACCCATTGTTGGGAGGGGCTTCCCGATTCAATGACCAAACCCCATTTTTTGGGGGGGTTCGCACTATGTTCATCTGTGTTCACTAGTGGGTGTAGATTCCATGCTTCCATCGTCATCCCGTGCCCCATCTTGCCTGCTTTTCTGTGTTGCGTTGACCGATGTTGATCACAGATGGAGGCACAGGTCCATGGTAGATGGACCGAAAGACTTGCTCTCACTTGGAAGCATCACTTGGACCTCTGTTCCATGTCGAAAGAGCAGCCGCGCAACCGCGCGCCTCCTCGAGGAAATCCACCGCACTGGCAGAGCTTCCAGTCTCCCAACCTCGGCATATTCTCCACAGATCTATGGGGACTACGGTGCGGACATGTTGTGCCTTAAGGGATTTCTTCGGAGGTTCTTCACGCATCCCAAACCCAAACACTCCATGGGATTGGAATACAGTACTGTATGTCTACATTGGGGTGGTGCCAAAGGGGTCTGTCTGGGGCGGCATGTAAACCAGTCCCATGGGTCGTGTCTGGTGTCCCCAACGTCTCTAAGATTCGAATCGATGCCATGCCGATTGGTGAAACCAACCACCCCAATATGTACAGTATACTTGGATTTGCTTAAGGAACCTGGAAACATATGTCCCAGAAGGTGATTTAACCACATAGGGAAAATTGCATGAACATAAACAATAACCTTAAGCAAAACCAGGTATATAGATATGCCATGATATGCCAGTCCCAAATGGGGCATATCCTCTACCATCGGGTCTGAACAAAGCCTGCTAGGACAGGGAGTGAGGAACTGTTAGGGATTGATGATCTACCTGTAGGTAGATGACTACCCTTGGACTTCTAGGGATTGATGATCTACCTGTAGCCACTCTCCCAAGGTGTGGACAAATGTTTGATGACACTGATGAATTGGGTGGGTGGATGTGCTTGGACCCTTGATGTGTCTACTTCTGGCTTATTAGTGTTCTTGACCATAACCCAAACACGGCCCATGGGACTGCCATATATGCCGATCAGTTGGGGTGGTGCCAAAGGGGTCAATGTAGGCATATATGGCAGTCCCATGGGCCGTGTTTGGGTAAAATAATAGTTATAAGTTGCAGTGACTGAGATCAATTGCTCGACCCGTTCAGAATGCCACAGTTAAAGGGATCAGATGGCAAGAGATCAAATCTTCACTTCTCAAGAGCAAGGGCTTTTGGAACCTCGGGACATGAAATCTAGGGTGTGTCCCATGACCGGCAACACAAATGATTATGACTATATATTGGGGAATGGTTGTCATCATCATCATCATCATCATCATCATCATCATCATCATCCTCATCCCCATCCACTGTTGCTGGTCGTGGGACATGCCCAGCATCAATCATGATTGGATGAGATTGTTGCCCTGCGGATCGACGGTCCGCAGAACATGTGGAAATGGCCATGGCATTGACATGCAAACACACCTCAGATGTATTTCATCAAGGTGGTTGCTTTGACGCACGGCAACCAGAGGATCCACTCCGTCTACCGACGCGGCCTGAAACATTCAGGTCTCAGGCCCTCTCCGATCGTTTGCTCATCAGGTGATCGTCGATCGCTTCAGCTTCACATCTGGCGCCTGGACCCTCCGGAAACCGAGTTGTGTGCTGGCGCCCGCATTTCGAACCGAACCGCTTGCCCCAGGAGTTGGGGGGAACCAGGAGCATTGCTCGGGTTGAGGTGTCCACCTCCTTGAGACTAGTCGAGGTGACAGTATGGCTCAAACATATGACCTTCACGAAAAAAGATCGCCCAATGCTTATAAGAAGGCTATGGCCTATGTGCCGCATGAACTATGGCCACTATGGCCTAGCACCTGTGAGAAAACTCCATTGATAGTACTTGTAGTTTGGAACCCCAAGTTACGCAACTTAACCTACGGTAGTTCAACCCCATGTAGTGACCAATAATATCCAAATCTAATGATATGTTTTAATACTTGTTGCAAATGTTATTATATATTTATTATAACCACTCGAACACAAAATGACTATCCTCGCTGGCCTCAGCTGCCTCCATCTCCCCATCTCCCTCATCTGAGGCCCAAGGCAAAGAGGAATCGATGGGCTACAACCCACCACGCGGTTTTGCACTCGACATTCCACGCACACGCGCACGCGCGCCGCCAGCTTGCGTCGCTGCAGCTCCTGCGGGTGCGCCGCTAGCTTGGCTTCAAGCATCCTAGTGATAGTGTCCTAGTATGTCCTAGTCGGTCCATGACAACATGTATAAGCCCTAAAAGTCTAAGACTCCAAGACTCTTGACACGCTTGTGACCCGAAGACGTTACGTTTCCTTTACCACTCGGCGGAGGTGTCGATCCGTCGAAGTCGAACGACCGCAGTCACGTGAGCTCCGGGGTGCGATCCATGGAGGTAGGAGTTGGGTGCCTGTCACATCCACTCACGTAAGGACGTTTCACACCATCCCGTCGAACGTGACTGCTGGAATAAGCATTCACCTTACTTTGATGTTGACACCGCATATTTGAATGGTTTCCGGTGAAGGCACGCAAGGCATCTGGATCCTTTTCATGAGGCATGCCAAGAAAACGACGGTCCCGAGCGCAGAACGACTTCGAAAGTGAGAAAGAACGAGGGTCCAAAAAGAATCGTAACTGCAGAAAGCTTCTGGCTTACGGTGACGTACGATCTGGCCAACCCCCTGCATCTTCACGATGGTGTCTTTTAAGCTATATATTGTTTATAAATTAGACACCCTGTTTGGGGGAGTCCTGATGGTCGTCTGATGGTCGTCTGGGTCTCACTCACGAGGCGAGCGGACAGACTTTTCTAGAGGAAGAGTGTCCTCCAAGGAGCTTTTGCCCCGTCCACTTCATGTGAGGTGTGACTGTCCCAAGTAGTTCACCCCGTATAAGTTAGGGCGTCCTAGACTTCAGGAATCGGAATGTCTTCATGTGTTCCAAAGGTTCAGTGTTTGGGATATGTGGGAGGGTCTGTGACCTTCTGCCTGGGGGGGCCATCTGCTCAAGCGTGCTGTGGCTCCTCCTGCGCCAAGACTGCCTCTGCCTCCGTCACGAGGCCGTCATAGGCACGGGACCGCAGCACCTGGACCATCCAAGGATGTCCAGCCCAAGTTCATCAAGAATTGAAGGTGATCACCCCAACTCCCTAGGGATCCAAGTACCTTCTCAGAAGGCACTTGGACCCTCCACAGCCACCCCAAACACCTTCTGAGAAGGTACTTGGATCCCTAGGGACTATACCGTAAGGGTATCTTCCCTGGGGCTCCTGGCCCACGTCCTGAGAAGATGTTTGAGGTGGATGCCAGGGGGGTCGAATACCACCGAACCTGGGGATATGGGCCAGCCCTAGGGATCTCATGACCACGGCCCAGTGGATGATGGTTAGGTACGGGTCTTTCTCCAAAAAACATGCCAATGATCTTGGCTGCAAGCCTGGCTGTGGCTTGAGAGGCTTGCCCATCATGAGTTGGTGGATTTGGATGCTGAAGCCAAAGAGGTCGTACAGCCCTTCTTTTGTTCACCGCCTCTGCAGAGGTCAATGCAGCATTGGCCGTCAAGTCGAAGCGATAGGAGGCCATGCCTCGCCGGAGGTCCATGGATCGAGCTCGGGCGGGGGTTTGGAGCGGATGAAAATGGTTTAGTCCTCTCTTTTCTAAACCCAGGAGTCACAAAGGAAGTGAGTGGGTCATGGGAAACCCTATCCTCCAATGAGCACCCCGAATAGTGACGACTATCATTTTCATTGAGGACCTTTGAGGCGACCGAAGGGGTGTCAACGATTGAGGAATATACTTTTCGGAGAGACAACGATTAACAACCTCGGCTGAAGGTGCGAGGATCGGACGCTCGAGGAGTCACACGGCGGTCAACAGAAACCACATATGCCGATGCCGCCCCAGAAAGAACCCCCCCCTGGCACCACCACCCCTGGCCGTTTCTCGGCAGTCCTATGGCAGTCCCATTAGTCGTGTGTGGGTAAGCATCGACCAAAAGACCAACCAGTGGAGGGTCCATGCTGAGGCACCCAGGAAACCACGGCCACTTCCTTGGGCCTCATGGACCTGGGTGGGTTTCATGCCCCGGTCCGATCAGATCAGCCACTCTTCAGTGTTTTTTTCAAGCGACGCAGGTGCTGAGAAAACAGTTGACCCACGGTCTGTCAAACCCCTTGAAACAAAAGCAA